ATAAATTGATCAATTTATTTTATATTTCTGAACGTAATGAATTTGGGGCACTCCAAATTGTACATAGAAATCACATTTACCAATTTTAAAGTAATACTTACTGTAGTTGAAGTAACTTATTTATTTGAAAACATGAACTAAAACCGCCAAAAAAATCATCTCAGCTTAATAAGTCATTCGTAGTTACTTTAAATAATCATAACCCGCAAACACAGGAACTGTTACGTCTCCATCTTTAAGATGGCGTCACATTTCACTTTCACTACGAAGCAAAAATAAATGCTCCGCCATTTTTAAGATGAAATTCACGTATGTGATTTCCTTCTGACGTCTTAAAAATCTTCAGCAGAACTGCTCCACAATATTGGCATGAAATTTCAATGCAAATTCATTTAACGGACTAACGAATAACTAACCTACGACTATGAAGGACACAGTGTTTATACCCGCGTACTGACGAAATGGAAAGTAACATTTCGGAATATTTTAATGACCGTAAAAAGATTAAAGAAATAAAAAACAGCAAGGAAATTAAATTAATCTTAAGAAAGAAAAATAGAAAGGGGAACATCAAGGAAGGAGAGCGTCCACATTTCACTTTCTCCGCTTGCACTGAGTTCGCTTGTTATCCTATTTTCCTACACTTTGTCAGCACAACAGCGAAACAACAGTAAATAGATGACGGGATATGCTGCCCTATGATGTACTCGCAGAAAGTACTTCCAAGGGACTTGCACAGAGACTCGCACATACACTAGTGAAGTAATTGTCGTCGTCTATAATGCGATTGACACAATTGACCATTTCGTTTCCTTCACAGCCATCACTCCTGTTTTCATAGTCATTGTTTCGCTTGCTATTGCCTTCTTACTTATTGTTTCTTCTCTCCGTTCCGTTCTTTTTCTAATACTATTTTCAATAGAAGAAAAGTATCTTACGATTTCCATTTAATTTGAGCTCATAACTCTCGTTGCTTTGTCGCGTACTTAAATGCGCATTTCAGTTCATTATTTTTGCCCTAAAAGCGGAAAGTACAAATGCAATAGAATAAAAACAATAATTTGAAAGGGTGGGAAAGATAGAGTAATGGAAGAAAAAAATCTGTTTTTATACACTGCGTTTCAGATTCTTTTGTTAGTACAACCACTTATTGATATATGTAAAAAAAGAAGAACAGGTTGTAACAATTTGAGATGACACATCATATACTCACTCATAGACCTTTCTAAATTCACAATTTCCAAAAACTGAAGGCTAGGATTCGCAAACTGAATAGCAACATAAACTGAAATCTTATTAAACTCTATCCACAATTCTGGTCTTTGTTAGTACCAGCATTTCACGTACGATTCAGTTGAATACATTGTGCCAAAAAAGCTTATTTTTCTTCAAGAATTCAAGTGTAAAAAATACTGACCTTAGCATTCTACTTTAATTATTATAACTTGTATCAAACTTTAATTTTTAATTTATCTCTTAAAACCGTTACCCATTCCATGGAAACCATGACCCATTCCAGTCAAAATACTTGATACCTATCGCAATCATAAAATTTTAAGTCGAAAGAAAATTTATTGTTACGTTACCTACATGAAACACCATCTTCAGAGCCATCATACCCCGTTAATAAGTTTTTAGATCAAAAAAAGACTTAATCTAATGTCATATACTCGAAATATATTTTCCTGAGCCCTCTCGAAGACTACTAAAATGGTATAGCAAAATTTAAGAGGCACTTGACATTTATATTAGGATATTTACACGGATTATCAACATATATTGATAGCTAATGCGACTTCATAACATATAAACCATCCATAATGTAACTAAAGTAAGTAAAATATCACAAATATAGAGACGAATTCAAGAACAGTCTCGTGACACTGAGCTTATTTCAATAAGATAACTGATGGGTGCGAGATATACTGTGACTATGAGAAACTATAAGTCATACAATTTGAAAAGTGTTATCGGACATAAAGTAACTGCTCGAAAGAAGGGAATCGAAGCAAATATTGTAAGTAGTTCTTTCAATTATAATGCGGATCTTATAAATTCACATAAATGATAAAGAACGTATACTAAACTTAAATATTAGCAGGTATGTACCAAGTATTATCAATAGGTATTGGAAAATTGTCAACAGACATTCAGAATAGTGTAAGTATAAGACTTGCGCTTCACAGAAAAAAAAATATTCGAAAATTTAAAACGCAACTAAAATATAACTAAATATATATGTGAAAGATACTAGATACTTTTCTGGATCGTCAAATTTCTTTTAGATGGAATAACATACAATAATAAGTTCTTTGAACCAAGATACTGGAAATTAAAAACATGAAAGATATTTGTTGAGCGTTGGATAATGCAATAAATTTACTCTCAGTATATGGTCATTTAAAGTTATTGAGTATGGAATATCTGGAATTGGTGAAAAAAACTGAAATATTGAAGGATTACTAAATATATGTTTGGTCTGAAATACTCACATAGTTTACTTTGGAATACTTTTACAAGTTTTGTTTCACTACTTCCATCATGTTAAGGTGCTTTTCAAGGAATGGAATTTTGATCTTTTGAGAGTAGAAAAAAGTCACATAACAGTTTAAAGATTAGATATGTACCATATTATTAGGCATTATCATAATTCACAACCCGCCGTTCGTTTACGAAGAATTTTCTCTTTGAATCACCACAAAACTTGAATTCTGAGTACACAACAGCATATTAATCGAAAAATTTATTAAACTCCTACTAATATGGAAGATTTAATCAAATGCTAATTTTTAAAGTCTTGAGAAACTATTTTCTTTAAAAATAAATAAAAGCACCACCAATCCTTTTAATATTAGTATGATATGCTAGACTTAAAACCAAAAACGATGCTATTTTCATGTTCCTTATTATTAGAAAGTAAGATTTATACCTCTTTTTAAGAATCCTATATATAATAAACAACTGAATCTTTGCTTTATCATCGCTAATTATAATCAGAGATACTAGATCTTCCTGTATAATTCTTGAAACTAACACAAAATGAGCTCTACCATAGTTTCTCGCAACGAATGCTGACTTCAATTCCTTTTCATTTGAGAACCTGGTACATACCATTTTACAGTACAAGAGTCGATTGCTTAATAACTCAAAAATTTATTCAAAACCGCAATTAGATTCTTGAGAAGAGATAAATGAACTACAAACTAAAAAATAGAAAGTCTGACTCTGAATGGGTCGCACCCTATTCTCTTCTTGTATGCATTTCTAATTCAAAAAAGTACAGTGAATGATTTTGCAGATATTTGCATGCACTAACCATGACCATCCTGAACCGATACACTTGAGTACTCCATTCACATCTTAAATATTCCTTGCGATTTCAATTTCCGTTGAATTTTCGTAGAGTTAAAAAAAAAACAACAGTCAGAAAATCCTTCTATTCTATGTACAACAAAATTTAACTACAAAAAATATTAAAATTTCTTATCGTGCGTACGGCTTGGCATCCGCTATTTCGCGCCATATGCCGGCAAAATGTAATCAAAATAACAGCAAAAAAATTCAGTTGAAATTATTATAATGTCGCGACACTTGCCGGAGACAATCTTATCCCTACACGCTACTGCTGCCACTAGGCATAGAAGTCGCTGCCTCAGCAACTACAACTACCGGATGCCTAACTAACAGCGCCAAGAGGAAAGTAACCATCGCTTTTGAAACTAAAGAACTAAAGAACGCCTTTAGGTCATGAAATCTGAAAAGAGCACTTCAAATAATAAAATTGAAAAATTCTTACCAATAGTAGGAGGAAGTTATTGCTACTGAGACCACAAATAACACTGTTTATCAGAAATGTTCACATTAATCAAAAGCAGTAGATTAACAATGATTTACACTTCACACGTACTTTAATTACTCTTCCGGATATTTTCTCGACTCTGCTTCTTCTTATCTAGCTAAGTCGAACCGTTCTTTTGAGCGTTCGGTACGCAACTGAAATAAAGAAATTTCTTGCTTCAACAGGAAAGCTACAGATGCATTCGAAATTAAAGACTGAAGAAAGCCTTTCCCAAATGAAGTTGGAAGCTACAAAAGTAAGAACTTTCATTGAGCTTTTGTGCACAAAATAATAGTTTTTCAAGCTTAGCGTTAGAGAAGCTTTTAAAGTCCTTTAAGTGCTTTACCTAAACAAAACTTTTTAAAAAAGTTCAGACTTCCACAACTTCTGGAATTAACAGAAATTGTCTTAAAAGCCAATTTTGATGTTATATCTTATTTTAACAGAGCAACCAAAAGAAGATTAAATCAACACAGCTCACAGCTTCAATAAAATTTAAATAAAGGATCTTGGTATATTATATAGTACACCTTGATTAAGCGTAGACGCCATCTTTCGCAGAATTATATTAGATTTTCACTTTATTATGTTGAGGGTAGTTGAGTCAGTGCACCAGAGCACTTTTACTCTCTATTAACTGCGAGGTTTCTTCAAAACCCCTCTTTGCGCCTTGACTAGGTTATTGTTTATCACTTCATCAGACTAAGCAATAATTGACCTCAGATCTGCATACCTCCCCGATGAACCTGTAAATAAAGTTATTTTCCTTCATTTTTTTAATAATTTCGATTTTTTATGTGTAAGATCAATTTTCGTTTAGTATATATAATGAAGAAATTAAGATTTTTACTGAATGAACCACGATTAAAAGAATAAATTTACTTGCAAACCATCTATGTTTGCGTTAGAATGGGTTGAAAATCACAGTAAAAGATTTGAATCCGCTATTATCACTCATAGAAACGGGTTGAGAAAATTCCTGCTATTAGACTGTAAAGCACTGCCGGCTAAATTCGCATCGCAGTAATCGAGGTGTAAAACGTAAGAGATATTTAGATATCATTCAAAGAGTTCTTATCGTAGTAATCTAATATTTATTTTAATTTTAATGTTACCTTTTTATATCTAAAATGAAAACAATATTTGTAAAAATAATCAAAAAAATAAGTGTAATTATATTTTTCGAGCTGTCAAAGTATATCATTAGTTACAAAAGATTGGGTGATAAATTAACTTACACCAGAAATCAATACTGGTGAAAATTATAAGAGAGTTCAAAAATATCGTATCGAATAAAAACATTAGTGCAATTACGAACAATTTGAGAGTGAAAATAATTGCTCGAATTTGACTAAACAAAACGAAGATGAGTAAGTGTTATATTGTGTCATGTCTTAAAAATGTTGCACTTTAATATGAAATTTAGCATATTTTTATTATAATAAATTTTATTGAAATTTATTAACTAATAGCCCATAATACATTAGCGTAGATGTATTTAAAATATATATATTGAAAATATTTCATTCTAATATAGAATTTTGCAATATATTTTTATTAAAATTTATTAATAGATAGCGCATAATACATTATAAAATCTTAATTAATCTTAATTAATTAATTATTAATATGATTTAAAATTTAAAATTTGCTTATATTGTTTTGCCGCATCCACTCAAGCATTTAAATTTCGAACACACTTCGCTGGTGAGTACAACACTGCGTACTTTGTACACAAACGTCAAAGCTGTTATTATTAATGTTGTTATGTTGTTTTTGTTGTTGTTGGCGTTGTTGCTGGTGTTATTTTCTTGCAGTTGATGTTATATAGAAAGTGGAACTAGTTTTTGCGGGAATGTGTTGTGATGTTGTTCGGGTCGTTAAAGGGGATTGTTTGTAGAAAAATATACAAAACACAAAAAATCCCGTATTTCTAAAAAATACTTTCAGTTCCGTGAAAAGACAACCAAAAATTAATTAAAATCTTATTTAACTAAAATTAATAAAAATATGTTTTGCAATTAGGTAAAAGTGCATAAGAAGAATAGAAAAGGGAAAATAAAAATTTAACTGCCGACAAACAACCAACAACACAGCATAAGCAAAAGAAAACAAGCAAAAAGGAAGCTTAGTATTAAGCACACAGAAAAAAGAACAGTAAAAAATACACACAAAATATTTTTATAAAATATTAAAAAAGAGGAAAACAAGTGCTGAAGAAATCTATGAAAAGTTAATTATTATTGTCATAATACAAAAAAAAAAACAAAAAAGCAAAAGTGTATTTTTTGTTGTTGGCTGATTTGGCCACACTTGAGGCTGGTGTATGCTATCTCTAAGCGCACTGCTGACCAAGTACACAGTTGGCATCATGAATAACCTGGGAAATAATCAACATAACAACGCAGTCGGTGGCGGCGCCAGCGCTGGCAACATTGCACAACATCCAGCTGCCGAAGGTGTAATGGAAAGGGGCAGGTGGGTTGTCACACTTTAGTCTCGCTGTAATATACTAACGTTTCCACAACAACAATTTAAATGCCTTTTTTTGTTTTTTTGTCTATTACAGTTGCTTACTGCGCTATGCAAGCCAAAATTCGCTAGACGAGAGCTCGCAAAAACACATACAACGTCCTAATGGCAAAGATCGCTCGGTCGGCCAGTACCACAATGAACAACACACCGCACGATCCTTTGAGGCCATGAACGAGATGCGAAAGTATGTTGCAAACCCAATCCAAAAGAATTTTAATTGTAGTTATAAATATATAATTACGCCTTTAATTTATGTACATCTACACTAGCTTATATACACCATATACATATATGCATATTTGTATATTTGTTTACTACTTATTTACATGAACATTTAACATTTATGTTAAACATTTAATGTATTTATTTATATTTTAACACATTTATGTTAATATTAATTTTTATTTATTTCTCCTCACTTCCGATCAATTCCGCATTTGCTTTCCATAATATTTGCCTAAATTTTTTTTTATTTATAATTAATTTATGTATTTTTGATTTTTGTTTATATTTTGTTGTTGCTTTTCTCATAGTCGTTGCTGCTATTGCCGTTAATATATCTTATTAACAGTCATATTGTTGTTGTTATTGTTTTTGCTGCTGCTGCGTCTGCGGCTACGGCTGCGACTATTCATAAACATAAACGGTAGCCGTGAACTTGAACTCATTTAGCAGTAGTTTGACGAATATTTTGAATATAATTAAATTCATTTAAATTTCTAAAAAATAAATTTTAGCACATAATTGCCTAGTCATTGTCTGCATATTTTAATTAACATCTTATATTAATTGTAAAATCACAATTATATGTATATAATATAATACATATTATTAATAATATCTTAACATATTTATAGAGTATTAGATGAATGTATTAGATGAAGTATTTGTTGTAATATTTATATATTTTTATAAGCTGTAACAAAGTAATCATAGTTATTACAACATAACACCAACAACAAAAACAACTTAATTTGTAATTAAATAATATTATTGGAAATGTACATATGTACGTGTGCTTTGTGTCGCTACTTTGTACATAAATAATTATCAAATACATTTTTCAAAAGTATTGCTGAGTTTCTTTACGGCCAATCAAGCCACTTAAAAAAACTCGTTCGAACAGGTTTGCGACGATTACATGAATTTCGAATATCTTTGTTATATCGAATGGAAAATTTTTATCATAGTTCATTAAGGCATTGAAATACAAATGCTTAGAATACTCTAAGCTACGTCCAAAAGCGACGGTTGATGGCCAAACCATAAGAAAAGTCATTGATCGAATTCTTCCAACGAACGCTTTAACAAAATAAATTCATAACATACTTATGTTAATGACATGTTCATAAATACTGCTCGAATGGAAAAATCAATCCATAAGATGCCGAACTCGGTGTGAATGTCTTTGATAATAACATGAATCAATTATGTGCGCCAAACTGAAACAAAAAGCCCTAATTTCAAATCTTAAAGGCATACATAATTTTATTAATACCAATAAATTATAATAATTATTTGTTTGAATATAAAAAACAAAACACTAGTTTGTCCTAGATTTGATGTTAATCATCAATATATAGTTCTTCAACTCTAGCAATTCTTAGAGCTTCCTATCACAACATTTTTAAAAACGGTCGGGTTTACTCGAATCTACCTTTTGGACTTGACTCTTTGGCCACAGTGCCATTCGCCACATCCCAAAGAGACTACACAAGCAGATCCCTGTAGGTTGCAACAATAACTTCCTATTATATTGACACACTTCCTATTAAATAAATTGCCAAGATATTCGAAGTTTGCATCTGCATTAGAATCTGTTCTGCAGTTATCTTTGTGAAGCATTGCGAGTGATATAACTATTATTAAATTTTTTTAATATCAGAGCTTGGTACTAAACATACTTATGCCGTACACATAAGAGTCTATAATTTTTAACGTAATTACTTGTCAATAAGGAGGCTCAGCACTACGATTTTCCTAATACACGTATCAGGTATCAGCGAATTCTAAGCTAATTCTAATTGAACCTATTCAATACTTTTGTAGCTAGTCAATAACAAATATATGTAGTAAATTTTTATCGCTATATACTTGTAAGTTTTTATACAATATTCAATGCACGGCCCAGAATTATGTCTCCCGAGAGTTTATATCCTCATATGTCAGGTGACATTTTGGACTTCATTCGAAGTAGGAGTATCTGCTTCCTTAGTTAAGTTCGATGACTAACGTATGAAACTATACAGTGTAGTGCTTCAGTCTATTAAGAACCAGTAACCTACCTATTAGTTTTTCTTTTTTTGATTGAAGCTACACCTATTGTAGGATGTAGAGTCGGTATTCCTAAATATCCCGTATGAACTTTATGAGCTTTGTTTACGTAAACTTGAAAATTTTATGAAAGGGTAGATTTCATTGCCGAACTAACGGCAGAGAAGTAATAGTTCTTCAGCGCAATCACAATGCATTAGTCAGTCTATGTATATTTAAATTTTACGGAATCACTTAATCTAACCTAACTTTCGGTAGGGATGGTGACACATCTCAGTGTTAGATGGATAGGTTTCATTTGTGGGCACCGATATAGATACGCAGTCAGTCTTACTTTAACTAACACTACATATTAAAGAAATTTATTTTATTATTAAAAACTAATTTTTTTTTTTCAGAAAAAATATACTCTGTGATGTAATTTTAGTTGCGGATGACATTGAGATACACGCACACAAAATGGTTTTGGCTGCGTGTAGTCCCTATTTTTGTGCCATGTTTACCGGGTTTGAAGAGTCTAAGCAGACTCGTATAGCCCTCAAAGGGATTGACTACCGCGCATTGGAACTGTTGATCGAGTACGTATACACATCCACGGTGGAAGTGAATGAGGATAACGTACAAGTACTACTGACTGCTGCTAATCACTTGCAATTGACTGACGTTCGTGACGCTTGCTGTGATTATTTACAAACACAATTAGATGCCAGCAATTGCCTGGGTATCAAAGAATTCGCTGATATGCACGGCTGTGTGGATTTATTCAATTATGCAGATACGTATATTGAACAACACTTCAAGTGAGTATATATATTTAACCATAATGCTCAAAGAGTTTAATAATGCTTGTATCTCACACATTTCTCATCTTTATTTGACAGTGAAGTCATACAGTTTGATGAGTTTCTTAACTTATCACATGAGCAGGTTATCAATCTTATAAAAAATGATCGTATATCAGTAACAACAGAGGAAAGAGTATTTGAATGTGTGATATCTTGGATACGTTATGATCCCGCCGTACGCGAGGTGTACACCTCAGATTTAATGAAACATGTGCGATTGCCGTTTCTTTCAAAAGAATACATAACGCAACGCGTTGATAAGGAACCTTTACTGGATGGCAACCTTAATTGCAAAAATTTAATAATTGAAGCGCTGACATATCACTTATTTCCAAACGACACCAAATCTGCTCGCACAATACCAAGGAAACCAGTAGGCCTGCCAAAAATATTATTAGTTATCGGCGGACAAGCTCCTAAGGCCATACGTTCAGTTGAATGTTATGATCTGAGAGAGGAAAAATGGTATCAAGCTGCAGAAATGCCCAACCGTCGTTGTCGGTAATAAACTTGGATTTTATTTTTATTTCAACAAAATTTTTCTACGTCCTTATTGTTTTTTTATGATTTAGTGCTGGCTTATCTGTTCTGGGTGATAAAGTTTATGCTGTGGGTGGCTTTAATGGTTCTTTGCGTGTACGTACTGTTGACGTTTATGATCCATCTACTGATCAATGGTCGGCATCGAACAGCATGGAAGCCAGACGTTCGACACTGGGTGTTGCTGTGCTTAACGGTTGTATATATGCTGTCGGTGGATTTGATGGTACAAGCGGTCTTTGCAGTGCAGAGGTATTTGATCCGAAAACAGAAATTTGGCGCTTTATAGCACCTATGTCTACACGGCGTAGTTCTGTTGGTGTTGGTGTTGTGAATGGTCTCCTTTATGCTGTTGGTGGTTATGATGGTTTCTCACGGCAATGTCTCTCATCGGTCGAGCGTTACAATCCCGAAACCGAAAATTGGACAGAAGTAGCAGACATGTCCGCACATCGGAGTGGTGCTGGCGTTGGTGTTCTGAACAATATATTGTATGCTGTTGGCGGCCACGATGGGCCGATGGTGCGTAAATCCGTTGAGGCATACGATCCGGAGGTAAATCGTTGGTATTCGGTTTCTGATATGGCGTTCTGTCGTCGCAATGCTGGTGTTGTAGCACATGAAGGACTGTTATATGTTGTTGGTGGAGATGATGGCACATCAAACTTAGCATCTGTTGAGGTAAGTTTGTATTTAAGAACTTTTTAAGAAAATATATATGCTTTGTTTTTATACGACTCACTATGCGAAAAATAATATATAGCCTCGTTTAGTAAACTTGTTATTAATAGTAAAAGTATACAATAATAAAATAGTGACCAATACACTTATCTTCATTAATTTTAATAATTAATTGTGAACTAGAAACTATATCTAAATCAAAAAATTGTTTTATTTCTTTCGCTGTAGGTTTATTGTCCCGAAACTAATACTTGGCGTATTTTGCCCGCTGCTATGACTATTGGTCGCAGTTATGCGGGCGTGTGTATGATAGATAAGCCCATGTGAATGGAAGAGCAGGGTGCGACAGCACGGTAATTTCTTTAATTATTAATACATTTATTTATTTAATATTATATTACTTAATTAACCATAATTTTTTTTTTTAACAGACAACTATCGGCAGCAGCAAGTGGTATCGTAGATGATGAAAACAGCCAAGCTGAAGGCACTGTTGAAGGCGCTATTGGTTTTGCTCGTAACGAGTCAACCAATAACAATAATAATGGTGCACAACAACAACAGCAAAATCATCCACACTATGAAAATATCTACGAATCCATTGAACAATATAATGCTGCTATTGGTGGCGCAGTTGCCGGTGCAGCTGCTGCCATTGCTGTCGCCCCTGCTGATGACTTACCACAACACTTACACCAACAGCCACAATCACAACAACAACAACAACAACAAACACTAAATGAAGTTATTGCTAACCCAACCGCCAACACCACAACTCCAAACCATAACAATAACAACAATAACACAAGTAACGTTAATAATAACAATGCACTACAACAACGTTTATTATCGAGCATACATTACCGCAACGATTTATACGATCGCACAAACACTAACTCACCTGCATATGATGTGCCACGTTCAGTTCGTTCGGGTCTAGGTTTTCGAAGAAACTTTCAGTTAGACCTACATGGAGGTATATATATGTTAGCATTTTTATCATTAATAAATTCTGATTCATAACAGTTATCAATAAAAAATAAAAAATCACCTTAAAACTGTTATTATTCGCATTTTAAAATAAAACTCAAAAAAAAAAAATATTCATATTCATCAAAAATAATTATTATCAAATGCTTTTTATTTTTTACGCAGAAATAACTCTTAAAATTCTGCTGAAGTTTTTTTAAAAAGCACAAATAAATGTTATTTTTTCCTTATAAATATAAAAATCAAAAATAACTCTTATTTTTAAATGAAAATATAAAATGTATTTTTCATATAAGGTAGTTGTTTTTGTAATTATATATAAAATGTGTTTAAGAACACATTGCACCAACGTGAAGAGTTATTTTTGATTTTTGTTTTTGTATTGTTCTGTGTATGAGTATATAAAAAGCATGCATATTATGAAGGATACAAGTTGTTAGAATGATAACTATATATTTAAATATGAGTTTAGAGAACTTTTTGTTCCTACTTTTTTTTGTTCTTAAAAATGTTTGAAATAACTGTTATTTTCGGTCTCTGTTAATAATATAATTGTAATTTCATATTTTCTCAGCGAATCGTTTCAATGGAGCACGTTACACTACTGGATCATCTGCTTATACTTGCCCACGCCAACGTAGCTTTGATGACACAGAGTCACATAATTACTATAATTTAAACTATCAACCGTCACTACGTTATGAAAATATTTACGAACAAATACGCGATGAGCCCATCTACCGAAATACAGGCAGTGGGGCGCGCGTTTATGGTCGTCTAAATGTGATTGGACATGGAATTGGTCGCATTGAACGGCATTTAAGCTCCTCTTGCGGTAATATTGATCATTTCAATTTAGGCGGCCATTACGCAGTATTGGGGCATTCTCACTTTGGCACAGTTGGTCATATACGCTTAAATGCTGGTAGTAATAATAGCTCAAGTAGTAGCACAACTAGTAGTGTCTTAAGCAGTAATAGTGTCAGTAATGGAGCCGCCAACGTTGTCATGTCAACAAATCAAAAAGATGCTAATAACGTCAAAAACAGTGCTTCATCTTTCTTTAGCTGCTTGCACGGAGAAAACTCTCAGAGCATGAGTAACATTTATAGAGCAACCACTGGTGCAACCAACGGTAATGTTTTACAACAAGCATCAGTGATTAATGGTATTAAAAATTACTGTAAACCGGTTTTTTATTTGTTATCCTATTTTTTTATACTTTTTAAGGTACTCCTAATATGTCTAAGGAACGTGAAACTAGATCAGCTTCAGCAGGTCCTTTAACTGCTGTAGCCAGCACAGTTGTTCATGATGCGATTCAGACTTTGACAACCAATCGACAAACTGGCGCAATACCAAAAATCAAAAATGCAAACGTTAGTGCCAACAAAAGCAATAGCCAAACTTCAACTGCAGAAAAATCTATAACCGTCAAGAATGCTGTTAATAAAAAGACATCGAGTACGGTCGCACAACCAAGTTCAGTTAAAAGTAGTGCTGAACACAATAACGGTACATTGAATCGCATATCCAAATCGAGCCTCCAATGGTTACTAGTTAATAAATGGCTACCCTTATGGATTGGACAAGGTCCCGATTGCAAGGTAAACAATTGTGTTTTATTTATGAATTATTATCAACACTACTGCACTTGAAGCAATGAATTGTGATCAAGTCCCGCATCAGGTTGCGATTACAAATCGTAATGAGAGCTTAAGTTTAACTCAAACCTTTGCACTGGAACTACTAATTAGTGCTGCTACTGAATATACGATCTTCATAGATATAATTTCATATTTTAATTAATAGAAAAAGTAATGAAACCCGCTTTGTTACACCAACTACAATGATTTTATATTTCTGCTCATATAGTATTTTTTGCGAGTGATAAACAGCATTTGGTCGTTGTAATTGACGAATGACCAATCACTTTACAATTGCTCTACTTTATCAGTAGAGCCCCCTCAGCAATGTGTCCCTCGATTGCTTTTTTCGTGTCATGACTATATCGACACCAACATCAGTGAGATCGAATACAACATAGACTAACAGTCCTCTACACTTATTCAGTTTCCTCTTTCAAGACCACTGTTGCATAGCAACGTAGTTCTCAACAGGCTGCCATCTAAAACCTCCAGGGAAGAGTAATGCCTTCTCTGTGCGCAAAAAACTCTCCTAGCCGAATTAAGGCCAGAATATAGCCATATGTTACACAATTACTGGCAATATATAAATGCGTCAATTCCCACGGTGTTTTGACACTGCAAATCTACCAACCATCTGTTTTCATGTCCTAATGCTATTTCAGGTCCATTTCTTATTCCATTCATCGTTAATTCACAATTGTTCTCAAACAATACACTTCTTTTTCACATTTCTTTTTTTCTACCACATCCTAATCTATGTATTCGTATTTCTAATTCCTTTCACGTTATCGTATCACGTTATATATATTATATATATTTTCCCTTACTATAACAACAACAACCATATTTCATTTGTATTGAAACAGACAATGTTTTTATGTGTATTTATTTTGTGTAGTCTACTTAGACCCATAGGTTAGGTTAACCTAACCAAGCTTGTTCTCTGGAAACTACGTTCTATTAAACTTTTTCTCTTCTGTTGCAGGTAATCGACTTCAACTTTATGTTTTCACGTGATTGTGTTGGTTGTGATGGTACCACGTCAACCTCACAACTAACAAATCCCTATGGTACACCACGCCTAGGCAGGATGCCGCAGGATATAGTACGTTTCAATGCACGTGCTGAAATGCATGCTCCTTGCGCCGCAGCTGCGGCTGCAGCTGCCTTACGACGGGAAAGCACTTTACAACAGCGACCATTGCATAGTACATTAAATCGTCTACGTGAAGCAGAAATTCCTTCAAACAACACCAACCGTCGGGAGTTCTATCGCTATGAAGATCCTTCTTACGAAAATGTACATGTTCAGTGGCAAAATGGTTTCGAATTTGGGCGTTCACGTGACTACGAGCATAGCTATCAGCAACAACAACAACAGTCCCGCCCGCAATTGCAACGTGCGCGTTCCGAAAGTCCAAATTTCAATAATCAACAGCAAAGACGATTGCGTGGCAATAATAGTACAAGCAGTCAAGTAAAGTATGGAGATCCTTTCAAGAGTTATAAACTTAACACAGAGAATAATACCTTTAAACCCAAAAACACGAAAGTCCAAAACTTGGAAAATGTTGAAGTGACAAAGTGTGACGGAACGACGACAACGACAACAACAACAATGAACACATCTGATGCTATTGTTGTCACCAATAGCTCTGCTGGTTCTCCTCCCGTCAACACTAACACAGCAACTCTAACGATGCCAACACTAATACAGCAACAAGCGATCGATTGTGATGAACTTGAAGGAGCTGTTGGTGAGAACTTGAGCCCCATTTCAATAGTTTTGGTCGATTCCAACGACGTTGCAACAACAATTTCGGGTGAAGAGATGGTTGTGGAAATTGCAACTACTGTTAGTACCGCTAGTTCCTCCAACACCCCATCTGGTACTAATGCAGCAGATATTGAGACTGACACAGCAAACACAAAAACAACAAATAACACTGAACAACAAAATGATGACTAAACACACAAAAACTGAAAGTATTTTTTACGTTTATAGAAATATACGTTACCTATACGAGTATATATTTTTTACAATTTTTTCTTTGTTATATTTAAAAAAATAATAATGTTTATTTTTTGATTATTTTATAAACGAAAAACTTCTTTTTTTATTTTTTACTAATTGTTTTATTTTAATTATTTGCTTTAATTTAAGAACTCACTTTCGGTCTCTGAAATTGTTGCCACGGACAAAACATGTGAATATAGTTTTTAATAATTATTACAATACAAAATATAAGAAAAATTATTCATAATATCATAAATGTTTTAAAGCAATACATTTTGATACAAAAATTTATATATATATATATATATATATATATATATATATATATATATATATATATGTAGATATATATCACAATAATTAGTATAAAATGTAGATAATTATATTTGTATAAGCAAAAATATCTAATAGAAAAAATAAAATATAAAAATATATGCATATAATAATATGCTATAATGACAATTATGTTATGAATAATATTATAATTATTAAATTTAAATATAAAACAATGTAAACAATTATTATTGAAATGATTGAAAAGCTTATTATTATAGATCTATAAGTAAAATTTTTATTGCATTGAAATATTAAATACTTCACATCTGAAGCCATGTCATATGGTGGCCACAATAAGATTTCATATATAGTAATTAGCAATTGTTATAAATATCGTAAGTTTTAAAATGATAAGTTATACTTAAGCTTTGTGCAACACTATGGAGACTCGAAATTTACAAAAGAGGAATATTCAATTAAAAATAATAAATTATTTTTGCTTTCTTATATCGAAGTGTTAAATTACATGAAATCAATTTGTTTTATGATTTAATATATTAATAATTACTATATAAATTTATGGACTTTATTGCAATGCCAAATGACTTATTAATAATGATAAAATTTTATGCTTAAAATTGTATTTTATTTAAAAATGTTGCATGTAAACAAATTAAAAACAATCCCGCATAAATATTTTGAAATTGTATATATAATTTTCGTAACGGTTGCACCAGTGAAAGTGTTATTACGAATGAATTATATATTTATTTTATTTACATATTAAAATGTAATTTCAGTTTAAAATTATCGATTATATTTAAGTTAAAATAATGTATTCGAGCATATTTACTTTACTATGTACATGTTTAAAATTCACTGCCCCAATTTTCGTGCCTATACAAGTTCTGCAAGCTTCACGAAGTTAATACATTAAATAGACATCCATCTCTTATACTACCTATATTCTTCTAGTATAGTTATAGTACAACCATTTTTTCAAAATATTTTGCTTATAGGCAACTAAAACATACGACTTATTTATGCTTTTATCACACAATTAATGGGTCTTGCCTTTTGACTTGCTGTACTAAACACTCAATCCTAGCTTTGAAATATAACTACACAGCCTAACTACCATACAATGATTTCATATTATGATGTTTTAGCATTTGTCGTTTATTTGTTTTTCTATTCTATTCTATTGAAATATTTCTATTCTATTAGAATCAGAATGTATTTTTAGTACGTGGCGGGTTTCTAAATTTTTAAATTCATAGTAATCAGAAATAATAAGCCATATTATGTCAATAATTATGGACAATAAATTGTACTATTAATTTAAAATTCTGTTTATAAGTTGAAAGAAACAAGTTCTATTGGAATCTTCAAGGATAGTCTACTCGCATTACTGCATTACTGGACTCTTATATCGTATAAAAGTAGCAACTTCATGCAGAATTACTTGCGAGTAACCTAAAGTCAGTAGAAGTAGATATAACTATCAGGATGCAGTGCCTCCATATGTGTCCCTATGCTAATACTATCAACTATCAATTTATTAATGTTATTTTGACGTTGTAATATCAGTTAAGCCTATTACAACAAGAACCTTAATGGCAGTGGTCGTTAAACTATTGTTTACTTAATTATGCAATTTAATCAAAAATCCAAAAACCAATTACATCAATTTATACATTTAGGTAGGTAAACATGTATGTTTGGTTCAATTTATTTTTTACTTATAAAAACTGCTTTCTCGTACATATTATTCTTCAAATTATATTTATCGTATGAAATGTACCACAGCTTAAAGTTTATACCAGACAACTGTTACCTCTTATAACCTCTTGCTTATAAAAAAATTATCCTTTCAAAACTGATTTTGAGTTTCTAATAGTGCAAATCACAAAATATTGTTTTCATTTATTTTATTAGTATAGTTGCTATATCTATTCCCCAGACTGCAGCTTCAAAACCGTTTATCCAATTATCCACTGTTGCTGCAGAGGTGTTTCTTGATTTGAGTTATGCCAATTCCTGTTTGCTTCTAAAGTCATTCTTATTAATCTTCATAATCCCCATAAGATGTCCAAAACATTTTGGTATTTTGGCATTGTTGTGGTCGTACACCACCTGACTCTATCAATCCATCGACACTAATTTCTCTTCGCTACCTAAAATACCTTTAATCTTTATACTTTTATACTATTCCCACTTTGTTAGGAAAACTTAAGAATGCCACTTAAAGGTTGCCATAAATGATTCTGTTTGCACTTATTATTAAATAAAATCAGTTTCACTATTAAAACACTATATTTATTTGTTTAAAACTATTAACTGGGAAAATAACTTTTATCCTACACATTAAATTAATTGATTAAACTTGATCTTATTCTCACAATGGGATAGGATGGGAATATAAGGATAGGAAAGTAGGAATAGTTCGAAGTGAGAGAAACTTTATAAAATATACTTTTTAGTCCGCTTATCCACAGAAATTAGTGTTCACAATGGGATAGGATGGGAAAGTAAGGATAGGAAAGTAGGAATAGGTAAAAGTGAGAGAAACTTTATAAAATGTACTTTTTTGTCCGTTTATCAATAGAAATAGAAAAAGAGTATTTATGTACAATATTCTGCAATATGTGTTAGCTATAAAATTTTATTTTATCTTTCCTATAGTTTCAGAAACAATCGCTTTTGATTCTTTTAATACTCCTTAGCATATATTAGCATAGTAGACAATACTAAACTACTACCGGAGTCGTGGTAGTATATCACCTAACATTATAACTTTATCTTTCTTTATTTAATAGACACCAACTGATTAAGTTGGTTTTTCGTATTTTTATGGAACTAATCTTCACCATACTTTCGGTATTTAATTGCTCTTTTATATATATACATATTTAACAATTTTAGTTTTAATAATATATATTTTATACAATATATAAACACCTAATAAACATACTTACATACACAGACATATATATATATATATATAGAAATATATTTAATTTTTAATTAGAAATCTTAGTCTTCCGATATATGTATTATGTTCTCTTTTGAATAGGTCTAGCTCTTCACAAGATTTTAAAATCGAAATTAAGGAAACATATGTCAAATTAAAATATTCTCACATTCATTTTAAATTTTAAATGCATATAACAGTAACAAAATAAACGAATTAATATAGTAGTAATATAGTAATAAATATATATATATATATATATACGTATACATATGCAAATAATTTAATATAAATAATGATCCATATCACAATGAATGAGAAACATTAAACATTAATATACTTAGCAATTGTAATTTCGCTTTAAATTTAATATTAATAAACATAAATTATTATTAATAATAATAAGAATCTTTATAGTTTTTAGAGTTTTAAATATTGAAATTATTCGATTATTCGTAAATAATAATATAGTCAGTTTTTGATATATAAACTTAGATGTAATCATTACATTTTTATTGCACCATTAAGCAATTTACCCGATTCTATAATATATATAACTTATATATTGCTTTGTTACATTGCTTTCAACCTAATTAATAATTATTTAAAATATTTACTGCTTATTATATTTATTCATTTCAATAGAAAATGTCTTAACTTTATATTATATTTTATAAATATTATATTTATATATAGTAGTTTGTCAAGAAAATGTTTGTCATACAAAAATAGATACATATATATTTAAGAATATGTAAGCAAAAATTGGTTTTAAATTAATTGAAAGATTTCATTATTAAAAAACATAAATTTAATTCGATAATAAAGAAAATTTGAACTTTTTTAATTTGCAAACATTTCCTTGACATACAGTGTTGTACATGCACTGTATAGGATAAATCTGAAGACAATTCTAAGTCTAAGCTATATAAACAAATATTGAATTTTGGAGTTTACTGTGTTCCAGTTTGTTTCTCAAGTTCTTATTAGCATAACTTTTGTTACGTCACAAATAAGCAAAATAAAATAATATTTTAAAAAAAATATAATAATGTTATTTATTATTTGTCGGTCAATAGGGGTCAATACAATGTCTAAGGGCAGAGACAGAGAAAGCCGTTTTCTGTTCACTGCAAATTCGATTGTTTTAGTCTTTAAAAAGTCTTAAAAAAACAGATCCTCAAAACTTCACTCTTATTGGGAATCCGGAAAAGATAATGAATGCTTTTTGATGAGTAATTCTGGGTTTGAATCTGTGAACATTTCCAAATACTGTCTGGTCCTAAAAGCTGGACTCATTAGAGAATTGTACTTTAATAGAAATATATGTGGAAATTCGATCGTTTTAGTCTTTAAAAGTCTTAAAAAACAGATCCTCAAAACTCCACTCTTATTGGGAATCCGGAAAAGATTGAGATGTGAACATCTTCAAATACTGTGTGGTCCTAAAGCTGGGCTCATTACAAAATTGTAATTTAATAAAAATGTATGTGGAAATTCGATTGTTTTAGTCTTTAAAAAGTCTTAAAAAAACAGATCCTCAAAACTCCACTCTTATTGGGAATCCGGAAAAGATAATGAATGCTTTTTAATTCTTGTTGATGAGTATATAATTCTGGGTTTGAATCTGTGAACATTTCCAAATACTGTCTGGTCCTAAAAGCTGGGCTCATTAGAGAATTGTAATTTAATAAAAATGTATGTAGAAATTCGATTGGTTAAGTCTTTAAAAATTCTTATAAAAAACAGATCCTCGAAACTTCGCTCTTATTGCGAATCCGAAGAAGATAATGAATGCTTTCTAATTCTTATTGATGAGTATCTAATTCTGTGTTTGAATCTGTGAACATTTCCAAATATTGTCTGGTCCAAAAAGCTGGGCTCATTAGAGAATTGTAATTTAATAAATATGTATGTGGTCTCAACCCGATTTTAGAGTAACGTATGTTGGTTCTTTTAAGGTCATGATCAAAAATACTTCTAATTAATACACCAGCTGCACAACAAAAATATAATCGGTAGCAGAGTAGAGAATTTCAAATTCTAGATCTGTCTCAAATACTAAGTAAAGATGCTTTGCGAATAGTCCTGCTTTCTATTCTTTGGAACGACAGTATTCGCCGTTTTGAATATATCGTTGCTTTCCAAAGACTATCTTCTTGATCATTAGTTATAGGGCTCAGAACTCGGCAGTAGCTTCAATGTAATTCTTGTATAGTTTAATTTAGAAAACTGATAATTGCCAATACATTTTTTATCAGTATTGTTCAATATTTTCTTTATTTTTAGTCGGCTATGGTCTATTTTTTTATCATAAATATTGGATTTAGGAGATCAATAGCAGAAAAAACACTGTCTTAGGATCTTATAAAGTAAGACTTGACTAAAAAAGTTATGATTTTTGTATTGTAGGATGCATATTTTCTAATATTTATCAATTACTTTTTAATATTTATTGGTTTTATTAAAAAGAAAGCTAATCAGTGTAGGGTTATTATTTTGTTTTAAAGATTTGGCGATCACACAGATAAATAAGAATAAATTAAAACACACCCACCTCACTTCAAAAGGTCTATATTCCATAAATACTGATATAATTTAATGTCTGAATGACTAGTTACAACTATGGAAGGAGGTTATAGTAACTGGATATTAAGTTAATTGTTATCAAATATAAAACAGTTAAACATTTCTAAATAAAGCTTCGTGGATTTATTATCAATGACAATATATTTTAATAAATTCATTAATTAATATAACATAAACTTAAAACTAAAATTAATATGGATTTAGAGTTTTAATAATGAAATTTGATTTCAGTTATGTACCAACTATCAAGAAAGCAGTGCAAGTGCTATGAACCAGCACTACTATAGACAGACGGAAATGTGTCGAAAGTATTATAGGTACATCTTAAATGCAGGACACACACAACATTCTATTTTAGTTCTTTATTATATGTCAGTTATTCTTATATAAATTTTTGTAACAATTGTTAAATGAAAAAACAAATTGTGTTTAAACAATAAACCACAGATGTTTTTACATGGAGTTAATACCGACAATTTTATAAGTGTGTTTAATTCTAATTTTTAGTTTTATGTAAATCTAATTTTAATTTGCTTGATTTGCTTGATGGTTTATGCTGGCAACTGGCTTTGTTGGACCCGGCGTTGGCGGCTTGATATTCAGCAATACGCATATTTCGTTACGTATGGGTCGAACCTCAACCAATGGAAGTCCCCAATCCGTTTCTGATAAAAGTGTTAGAACTTCGTCTAAACTCTCTTCAGATATTTCACAATTTTCACCATATAATGCCAAGGCTTCATATAATTTCGTAGCCGTAGTCTTGCGTATGTGGACATGCGTCAGACCCAGAATGAGCGACAATTTGGAAAGTATTTTCTTAGTCATGGAACGAACTTGTAGTAGTTGGCAATAAACACATACGCCAGCTATGAACTTATATAATTTCTTGTGACCTTTGATTTCTACACTTACCAAACGATAAATGTCTTCGGCAAATGTTGATGTCTCATCAAGAAATACTGAATTAATTGTACCTAAAAAAATATTTTTAATTTATTTCAAATAAATTCTATGCAATTTGAAGGCAAAGAAATAAATGTTATTACTTTTAGAATAGATTATAAAAGAAAAGAATAAAATATAAAAGGATACTGGAACAAAACAGAGTAAAGCGCTGTAAGCATGGTATATCTTTCGTGCTACAAACCGGGCCCGTTGAGCATTTCAAGCCATCCTTTGAGGATTTTCTAACATTATATCAAAGAGGAAAAAAAGTTCCTTGCTAAATGTTTTTATCCTTGCCTAGATCAAGCTTTAACAGTGATATTGAATGTGACCAAAGGGTCTCATCCTCTTCCAAGCAAAATCGACATTCTGTCTCTTCGTACAGCCCGAACTTTTTGAGATGCTAACACAGGTCATGGTTTTTAGCTTAACAATTACCAATAGTGCTGTGCAAATAATGGCTTTATTCACTCTCAATTCACTTTTCTATCAGAGACTAAGTTGGTATATATTAAAAATGGAGACTTCTCCTTAGGAGTTTTTTAACGAAATTTAAAACGAAATTAAAATTTTGAACGAAATTAAATTTTTAAACGAAATTTAAAATTACTGTTAATTATAATTAGGTTGATAATTTACATACTAAACTATTAAATGAATTACTTACCAGATCTAATTAATATGTCTAGGAAACTTAGCAAAGGATATGTTACACGCTCATTCAGTAAATTTTCCTCAAAGTTTTCTACAATTTCTTTACAAAGCCGTGTAACGTCCTCAGGATGTGAACGCAGGTATTGAAATAAGGCATTCGATGAATATTTTATCTATTAAGAAAAAAAAATCGCATTAATATTTAGTTTTTGTACAGTATATAGTATGAATCCGAAACTCTATAATATCCAACAAGAATTAAATCAAAATAAAATATCAGCAAAAGAATTATAATTAAACATTATAATTAAATTATAATTAAATATTCACAATATTCACTTAAAGGAAATAACAGTTGTAATTTATGTTAAAAAATCCAGAACAGTCTAGTTTACGTTAACTGCTTATCAATTCCATCTCGAAAAAAGAAGGACTTTAAACTGGTCTTCAAACCACCGGTGTCATCTGTGCTTGACAATTGTCATACGTCCAGATCAAGTGCCAACCATCAAAAGCAATATCTCATATCTAGAGAATAACAGCAATACTGCTTGTTCAGGAAGTTAAAAATAAACATATTTAAGGATATTTTATACGACACATTACCGTACCGTATACCTTAACTAATAATTCTTGTGTTTGTTGAAGACCTTCCTATAGAATCCAAAGAAGTATCATAATACACAAAATGAAATGTTATTAATAGCAAAAGAAAAGATAGAGAGGCGTATAGTAAATAATTCAAGACAAATAAACAAGAATATTTAGAGAAGGATGACAAAGGTGCTGAAGTTAGGAACAAGGGTCTGACATGGCGGTCACACGGATTTCAAACTAGATTTTCAATTCAAAAATGACTTTTAGTAATGATAACTTGTAAATATAGCGTAACCATGCGAGTTATTTGACACAGAATTCAAATCCCCTAACAGTTCTTATTAATTATCTTATCACATACATATGTTACTTACTAAAGATTCAGTCAATTGTCCAATACTAGCACAGACACCAAGTAGTATGCGTTTGGAATAGCTTGGCAATTCCAAAAACGAACAAAATATTGGGAATGTTTGATCAGCAAAGAGCCATAAAACCTTACTTAAATCTTCAGGCAACAACTCCTTGATGCGTTGGTGATTCAGTATGTAAGGTAACTCTGGCTTTGTAGTAATAATATCACAAAAAATACGTCCAGCTATGCCGCGTGTACGATCGATTTTTTCAACAGCTTGCTGAGCTAAGCTGACCATAATTTCATGCATATGCTTAGCTTGAAGTAGATGCCTGGGGCATGAAGTTATAAGCTCATACATTGCTGCAATTATGCAATTATTAAGATAACATACCTCAAATTAGAAATAAACTGAATATGGAAACACACTCACCAGTCATAGCTGATTCCCTTACCCAAGCGCCAATGTCGCCACGATTGTCTAAAGTATATTCGTTCATAGCTTTTAGAAAGCAATCCATCACTTTATCAAATCTATCCTGGTGCCCGAATGAAGCTGTTTATGTAAAATTTTATTTTTTTCTTACTTAGATTATTAAATATATTGCGTTTTATACTTACGTATCATGCATTTTTTCATGTCATCAACAAAACCGATAGTTTTTACTAAGTTACTAAGCGCTTTTATACTTTCTCGACGTGCCTCGCTCCACATGGCAGTAGGAATCGTACAAGCTTGCGCTGTTATATCCCAAGAAGGTATTACACCAGGTGGCGGTAATGCATTTTTTATTAAACAATCCAGCAACAGGTCTACCTCGTTAAATACCATATAAGCAGGCAAAACCCCAAGTGCACCCAAATACCCCATACGTCTAGACTCTTCTACTTGTTCGTTGGCTAGATCTATATAGGCATGAATTGTATCCGTATTAATCTTTTCGTACTCCTTCAATGTGTAGTACGCTAAAGTAAATTTAGCAAATGCTCTTTTAGCGGAGTCACGTATAGTAGCAGACTTATTTATCAAGCACATATCAATAACTGTCTGCCAACTAACTAAGCAAGTCTTCGTAATAGTCAAATTAGCTGCGCTACAGTTTCTTATGAAATCCGTGCAACATTGCTTCATGATTTCACCACTCATTCCTCTGAAGGAATCGCGTAACAAAAACTTTTCTAATAACTGGTTTAAATAAATGCGTGTCTCATCAGTTATTAGAGTTTTGGGGTTATTTTTACTCTTTTCCAGCTCCCTTAATGTTGTCGTTACTTCACCAATGGCCAATATTGAACCATGGCGCGCATTAATATCAGTCGAATCGGCTAGTTTGAAAAGTTTTGGTAATATTTCCGCGGCTACATATTCTGGCGCAAGAAACGTTAATGAGTGTAGCGCTTCGGCCGTGAGTTCACGTATGGCTGTATCCCAATGGTTAACTTTGCGTTCCACTAAATGATCGATTAAAGGCTTGCGATATTCTTCATACTTTGCAATTAAAAAGCTTACGGAGAGATAAGTGTTGTGACGCAAGCCTACCGAAAAAAAATCGGTACAAGTAGAGATTTCTATGCCGTGCGGAAAATTTCCCAAACGTCCTACGCTCTCTTGAAATGCAGCTGACGCAGCACGTCTACAATTCACTTCACGATCGAATGCAGCTACTGTCAATAAACCAGATGAGATTTGCTGTACAAAAGGTGCCAAATCTTCTGGATTATAAGCACGTGCAAATGCCCAACACATATAACAGGCCGAGTCACGTATATGCTGCCCCATTGACATATAGCCTTTTACCTCATCATAAAACAAGGCTTGCATAAGTAAGGGTACCAATTCTGTTAAACGGTAAGGTAGTAGCAGGCCACGTTTAGCCAATTCTGCTAAAGCCAAACAAGCGCCATGCCAAGCTTCATGAGGTTCTAAGGGATTTAGTATGTCGATTACTGAACCGATAACTTCATCAGCCATACCCTTCGTAAGACGATTTGTAACACGACCAATGCCTTTAGCAGCATTCCAACGCACAGCACTGCTACTGCTACGCAAACCTTGTAAAAGCTCTTCAATGACTTCTTCAACACTTTCCGGCACATAAACATCATCATCCATATCAAGGCATTGATTTTGAGATACATGTTCATGATCTTCATCAGTTGTCTTCGAGGATGAGTTCAAATTCGATACTAGCAAACGTGTACCTATAAATTAAAGTGCCTTTAATTTCCTGAAAAAAAAGGAAATTGTGCTAAACACACTTACCTCTGTTGTAACGCCAAGACGCGACTCGCGGTTTCAAATACACCAGACCAATGCGTTGCATAATTTTCATGTAATTTTTATATTTAAGGAAATTAGAACTGCTCTTGTAATCGCACAATATTAGCCAATGGAGTAACTTGTCAGCATAAGGCAATAGATCCTCCCGTTTACCATGTTTCAATATTGCTGCAACTGCTGACAACTGACCATACTTAACTTCAACTGTTTCAGTCTTATTCTCAGAAATTACCCAATCTAAAAAACTCTCCAAATACAATTCCTTTATATCAGCACGGACCAAAAACTTAGCAGCAAGATAAGCACACACGCTACTGCATGTGTCGTGCGAGGCAGAGTAGAGTTTGCATAAGTCGTAAATGCGTTCCATTTTGGACTTTTGTTGGACTGAGTTCAATAAATTGGGTTCAGCAGGATTAATGGCGGCATTGACTGATGGCACGTTCGTATCGAAATCATCTAAACGAGACATATGAAACGGATTTAACACTAAAATGGACATCCAAAGCAGCAACATATAACGTGTCTCCCAGTTTTCGAATTCAGTGGGATCTTGCTGCTCAAGCAAATTAAGTGCAAATTCCAAATCACTGAGCTCATGCGGCAGAAACTTTACCAGCACTTTGTATGTACGAACTTTGCATATTATGTACATGTACTTAAAAGCGGCATTGATGACGGGAGTGGACGCACCAGAACATTGAATTTTGCCCAATAGCAACTTTAACATCTCTTCTAAATGCGGGTCTATTAGATGTGGCTGTTCTTGATAGCTGCAAAAACAAATTAATATTTAGCTTCAAATGGCTAATCCATTTTTGTTGATTAAAACCTTAAACTGTTTTATATTTTATGCAAACACTTATATTCTTATATTAAATCAATTATAACAGAGGAATCAGGAATTCTTACCGCGAAAGGACATTGTTAAACTTCTCGAATTCCTTCTCAAAACCGACCTCAACAGTTGACTTCATCGTATTAATCATCTCAAGCACCTGGTCAACTTCCGTGAAATGCTCGAGCGTATTTGCGGGTGCAACATCCTCACCACTATCTTCATACATCATCATTTTTATCTTAAAATCAATTTGAATACACTTAATAAGTATTAATTAATTCTAAAGAAATTACAATATTTTTAAAAATGCCAGACAGTTGTTGTGTGCCGGCTGAAATATTCTTCACACAAATTTCTATGACAAACAAATGACAAACAAATGATAAATACGTTCTGTTTCCAAACTATTCCTCGTATGACACATGATTTTGTTTTTGTATTACAAGGTGTTTTGTTTTAAATTAAATTTAAATTGCATATCCCACCTTTATACTGCCAGGGCTGCCAGCGCGGATTTTAATTTTAAGCAAAAAATTCTATTATATGATAAGCTAAATTTTTTTTTTTTTTTTGATAAAAATTACAATGTTTATAAGAATATCGAAATGACGCAATAAAATAATTATTCTATGAACAAATATATTAAAATGAATATATAATGTGTAGATAATATAAAGATTTCTATAAAAATTAAAACAGAAGATAACGTTGTTTACATGAAAAAATGAGTAAAAATTTTCTTAAGTTAAAATCATTAATTCCTCCTCAAACACTAATGAAATATAGATTCAAAATAATTTTATATTGTGTTTTATAAAAAAAAAACTTTACGTGAAGGGTTTACAATTGTTTTGTGGTCGATCTTCTATACTAGATCTTTTCGGTGGCTCGCAAGTATGGCAAAAAACAGCAAGTTGCTGGCCTATACTGGTCAAAATGTATGCAAAACAACAACACTACTTTCTCTATCTAAGCCACACACTCCGGCCAGTAAAGAAGAACGTGCTACCAACGCAATAAGCAAACTATCGTGAATATTCATTGGAAAGTCCAACGAATATTGCAATCATATGTCAAAAAATCATATGCAAACAAAATTCAAAAATATGAATTTGAAATTTAGGAATAAAGAAAAAATTGCAGGCTCAGGTTCTGCATTCATTTTAATTTTTAAATGAAAATTTTGGCGAAAAAATGGCGTAAGCAACACAACCTTTTTTTAAAAATCGCTAATAATATAATTATCACACTTTCCGATTTTAAACAAAGGCGTAAATACTGTATAATATAATAATACATTAACATTATTACAGCCTCTATGAGTTTTTTCTTGCTAGATATTTTTGGTGGCAAATTGAAAGTGAGCATATCTAATTTTCCTTTTAAATTTAGGCACAACCAAAAAGTATCAAAACATTGTAAAAATGCTGATAATTATTACTAAACACATCGGACATCCCACAAAATAAATAGTTTAAATAAAACAAACCAGAAAGAATTGCAATTTGATAAAGAGTCGACAACAAATGTTTGTACTTACTTGATATATTTACTTTGCACTATAAATATGACAGATAACAGTGTTATCTTATTCAGCATAAAATCTTTATTCTTCCTCACAACTATTCACAATAGCATAAGATAATACTGAATAATGCCTTACTACTGTGAACTGTTCAAGTTGATATCAATTTAATTTTATTGATATTAGAATTCAATGATAATATCAAAATTTAAAATTTTCATACAAATCATTTCAATTACAAACAAAACCCTCGTGTGAATACGGTATTAGAAGATTTGGCAAAAATTTTTTTATTTATCACATCATCTAATGCCACTTTGAATACATCAATTTTATTTTTTTTTGTACTTAACAGTGTTTAGATAAATTCTCAAAATAACAGCATTCATTTTATTGATTTTTCAACCCTATAGTACCTTCAATATTCAATAAATGTGTGTGTAACTCGCGTAAACCAATAAATTAAATTTAAGAGGCTTCGATAGTTTTAGAGACAGAGTTTGTACGTGTCGCAAAAGATGAAATATACTTGATATATTCCAATTCTTCGAATTATTCCCCTATTAGTTGGAAAGTACTGTAAACTATGCGATTATATTTCTTGGTTAATAATCAGGGAATCAGTGGCGGCGCTAGGCGTCGGTAACGTTGATGACCACGGGGGTCTCGCAAAGAGTTGTACAAATTCCTTAAAAGCTTAACGACAATTACCAGAGAAAAAATGGTTTTATTTGTTTTTTTTTTTAAGTGAATAAGGGAATCTTTTAACAATGAATTTACGAAAAATTCGAAATTTAGATCCGGAGAGGTGGATATTTCCAGTAACGGCTATATAGCGTCATGATAGCATCATAATGGCTCCCTGCAACACATAGAAAAATCTGATAAAAGTTATCCTAAGGATTTTAATAACAGATATTTTTTTTTCGAAAATTGAATAACGGTGAAATGCAACGTCTCGATAAAATTCTTAAATTTTTTCAAAGTGGCGTAAGCGTTGGGAACTTTGACCTTAACTCTCTCTTTCTCTCTCTGAAACAAGATGGGAGCGTAGAATCGAAGCAATTAAAGCGATATTTTTGCAATTTGATGATGTTGTTGAATGGGTGAATAACATAAGAAATAAAACTGATGATTCTGAACCTCTAAGCGATTGTGAAGCAGTCCTGAATCAAATGCTAATTCTTGAGTTTACGACCAGTAAACACTATAAATAAACTATAGCAATCGACTAAAGAAAACTTGAAGATCGCTATTGACAGTCTACACACCTTTCGTACGTGGGTAAAAGAATATCATAATACTTGATTTGAAAAACCGTTGAACAATCCCAATTCTTTGTAGAAAAAAAGAGTTAAGAAATTACATCTGAATTTAAAGATTTTTGCTTTAATAACTAAGAAGAAACGATTGTTCAGTTATGAACATATTGATGAGCCCATATAATCCGTTGAAATGCAGAATAAAGTAAACTTTTTTTACCATAATGATAGATGCTATCTTAATTGCTACCGATTGTCGATTCAAAGCACTTATTTTGAACAATTTATGTGACATTAATCATAAAGTATATCAAACGAAGACCTTGTCAAGCATTGTCATGCTTTAGACATAACATTTCTCTAGACTTAATCAACGATAAAAAGCAGTTCATCTGAAATATTAAGGAAAATAATTTAGAGGAAGTACGTCCGAATATTTAAATAGTAATCAGAATTATACTCACAGTTCCACTCAGTACAGCCTCTGCTAAAGGAAGCTTCATATAGTTAAAACTGATAAAGACCTATTTGAAAAGTATGATGAGCCAAGAGAGACTATCTGCATTGCCAGTTCTATTAATTGCAGCAAAATTATAATATAATTTTGAAAAAAATTCAGTGAGGCTTAAAATAGGAAAATTCATTTATTTTATTTTGATTACCAATAAAACTTTCATACAGACTTCGCTGTAATTGTGAATGCAGATTATTTACCTAGAAAAACCTGAAACTTGAGCATTGAAAGTTTGTGCAGTCTTGGCTAGTTGCGGATAAACAAGATTAGTCACCGCTTATAATTTGTCAAGTTCTAAGTCTGGCGCTTGCAGTCCAAAGTATATACGGACTATAAACTAATTAAATTCGATTATTTCCTAAGACCACTGATGATGAGTACTTGGCAATACTCGAAACAGCGTTGTATGGTCAGCCAAATTTCAATAAATTAAATAAATTTTTGTTCTTGTCTTTTCTTTGCTATTCGAATCCGTCTAACTTTTAAATAGTTTCTTTTCGTTATAAAGACACGCCACTATCGGCAAGAAAAAATTAACATCGTAAATTATTTACTTTTATAGCACAGTAATAAAAGGGGCCTCGCAATTCTGATGTCGCCGACGTCCAGGGTTAGCTCCGCCACTGCAGGGTATAATACATTAAAGATTTTATGAGAATTTTTAGTCCTTCATGGAACATAACAGAATAGAGTCTTCTAAAACAAAGTAAGGATTTACCTGCTAATTTATTAACCATATGAAGTGTCCCTTGCAATAGCTTCTCAAATCCTACTTTTTATTTAAAGTTAAACGCATCAACCCAAGGAAAAAATAAGTAAGATAGTATGAGTAAGATAGTATACTCCATGTCAGGTAGAAAGTTTTAGATACATAAACCATTTCTTGAAATAAAGTAATTAACAGGCAAAGACAGGTAACATCTTCCCACTTTAGAATTAATGGGCGTGAAATTGTTAAAACAAAATTCTTCTTTATTGCCTTTTATGAATCTTGAAAATTCTTCTTTGTGGAACTCTATAGAATTTACTATGTAAGTAAATCATTTAATACATGCAAATCTTTCCGAGACTAGAGGATTAAGATTTGGAAGATTGAGAGTATGATAAAAAAATTAATAAATTAACTCATGTTACCGAGACCACTGCTTAGGCCATATCATAAACGATTTATATATGTATATGGGCCAGTTAAATGTAAAACCACATATGGGACCACTGTAGTATAGTAATGTATAATGACGCTTAAAATTACTAGTTTTTACTGAGCACTGTGTTAAGACGCGTAGTCCTTACCACAGAAATTTTATAAGCATTTGCTTTTTTTTAATTCATTACTAAACTATGGCAAACACTGCGGATTATTGCTGACGATGTACTTTTCTGACAATATATTCACATTATATCAAGATTTCTAAATATTTTTATTACATTTAAACAGATACACATAAAAACAATACAAGACTTACGACTAATATTCCACTTAAATAATTCTGAGTAATGGATGATTTTGTTCCGTAAAGAAGTGTTAAAAAGGTTTGTTGTATGTTGATTAACATTATTTAAACAGTTCGTAGGGAGAAAATAATTATGAAGTAATTAATATAATATAATTCATGCATGCAATAATTTTGAAATAGAAAAAATGTCGTCACTACAACTGCTTAAATAAGTCCAAATTTCTGTTTGAACATAAAAATTCAAACAAAATAATGCGGCTTGCGCACCGTAATGCCATGGTCTCCAAGTGCAGGAGATATATCCTCCACTGCCAAAGAGTATTTGCGATCTTTATTTGGCTTCTTGTCCTACAAAGATATACAGAATTGAAGTCACTCCATAAACAAAGATTTCTATTTACTATAACTATGAGACTATAACGCACCTTGTTAGCTCCATGACTGCTGGAATGTTGATTATTGCTTGTCCGCGTCTTACAATGCTGGAGCGCATCGTTAGCTATATCTGATATGAATTTCTGTGCAGCAACAGATATTATTCTAACAATTCGTGGATCGACGGTTTCAAATCCATTTCGGTTTAAGAAGCTAGCGGTGATAGCATCTGGTACTGTTGGCACATAATCCTCAACTTGTTTAACCAACTCTATAAATGCTGGACTAAGATCAGCAAATTCGGCTTCCTCTGAATCGCTGTTATTTATTGCCGCTAAGTGTTCATCATCCGTGTTGGCCATCTGCTATATATTAATTGTTTTCTGTATATAAAAAACAATCAAATATGACTGAAGCTGGTAATTATGTCCGACACTCGTCAAATCTGTTTTATGATAATTTGCTACATGGCAGCTGTTTTGCTGTTTGCTTTCGTTTCGTGTTTCTCGCCAAAACGTTCCAACGAACACAGGTAAAGCGGAGAGAAAAAATGTATAAAGGGTCAGTTACTTGGTACGTGCGGTAAGACCTTAAGTAGAAACGAAATGAAAATTTCTCTACGCTTTACTCTAAAATGCAATTAGTCCGTACGTAAGCACCTGATGTTTTGTTCTCAGAAATAAATATTCAGTAAAATTTATTTAAAGTTAAATGTAATTAATAACGCCGTGTGCGAGTTCGAGTAAATTGAAGTAAAGTAAATTGAAATTTCCTAGGGACTTTTTGCACTGCTCTGCATATTTACATAAAATATTCATTTATTTATTTATTGCACTTATTTATTATTTTTGGTTAAAAGTTTTCAAATTTATTTATTTATTTATTAAACATCTTATAAAATTTTACACCTAATTTACCTAATTTTTATCTAATTTACCCTACTCGAAATTCTGGTAACTATTAATATTCGCTGCAATACCCACATAATTAACTATTTGCCTCAATTTACCATCAATTTACTCGAACTCGCACACAGCCTGAATGCTTCGGTCTGAATAGCATTTTATCAACACTGGCATTCTCAGAAGAGAAGGCAATTATAAAATTACTGCAATTATCTCGAAAACTTTTGCATGGATTTTATATGAAAACTGTTAAATAAGTTTCTTTTCAAGTTAATTATGAAAATGCGTTTATCAATAAATTAAAAGTAAAATTATTTCAGAAGACTTTATAGATAGTGTTTATTATTGAGCGCAGAGTTTTATTTTGATATAGAAAGTAAACTCTTGCCGTTGATCTCTTACCGATATTAATTAGGCATATTATGAAGAATATTTTTTAAATACCAATGTACTTTCTTTTTATAAATTATTTTGTCTTTCATAGATTCACCAACATTAATTCAACAATAGTGTAAAGAATAATTTAAATGTTTCTTATAAATAATTGCCCTAATTTGAATAGTTCTTAACAAAGTCTATTTTTGTGAGAGGTGATATTTCAATAGGAATTGTGAACTGCACTTGAATACCTCAATGATAATTTATTCTATTATTATTAAATATAATTATTTTCCACGTTTTCAGTGTATGAGAAATCACTATCTGGTATCAGCTGCCATTTATTCTTTGTATATATAAGAACTTCGATCCGGTGCTCATCTGTGGACAGTTTCGAAATATCTAATTAGAATCGATGATAATTTACTGTCTAAACCACATTATAATTGAGTAGTGTGCGGGAAGCTGAAGGAAAGGGCGGCCAAAGGTTACATCAATGGATGGTTGTTGGTTGCCAAAAACAAAATAGTTAAGGACTAAGATATTGAACGAACAGAAACCAGATACATAAACAAATATCGACGGAGACTACTATAGACAAATGCAAATATAGACTATATTCTTAAGACAATCGAAGATATTCTTATTATGAAAAGAGCAAATATTTGAGTTACAGATAACTTTTTGTGTGAGGATGCGTTTCGCTAATAAAAAAAAATTCGCACACGTCCTTAGTTTTGCTAATCAAAATTGCTGCACAAGTCTATGGCACTGCTATCCTTCAAACCATGCTGCGTTTATACGTCCAGGCTTTGGCACACATTCTCACTTCTTTACTAACCCACACAAGTTTTTGTTGGTTAAAAAAATTCGAAAATAATATGTATTTATATTCGAACATGAGAATCTTGCTTAAGTCTACCGGTGGTATCACAATGAACCATTATTGGTTCGCAAGTGAGCTTTGTTGCACAAGATTTAAGTCCAAACCTAACCAGTGTTGAAGTCGTGTAAATTATAAAATGGTTGGTTAGTTTTCGTAATATTTACACATTTTTTGAACTTGAGGTCGGCTTTAAAAAATGTGTGTGCCTGCCAAAAATTGAGTAAAATAATTGCTAATACAGGACTAATTCAGTAATTCACTACCCATATGTTTGATATAACTTTTTTTTTCCGTATCTATATAGTTTTGTGAATAATCAATAAAAATTTCATAATAATCAAAGCGTTTACGATCCGTTATACACCTCCAAGCAACTCTGTCATACTACAATTCTTAAACTTATCGAATTTATTTTATTTTTTTAATTGTTTTCCACTTTAATTTTCAACATTCATCATTCTAAGATCTTCTTCGATATATGAATCTTTTATCTTCTTTTATTACATCTTCTTTGACATTCCAAATCGTAGAATTTTCGTTGAATTTCCAAATCGTAGAATTTTCTTTGAATTTCCAAATCATAGAATTTTCTTTGACGTTCCAAATCGTAGAATTTCCTTTGCTAGTGAACCATCCGTCACACCGAAACCATGTTCCATGTTCATAGTGACTTTTTGAAGCAGGATTGTTATACCTTGAACCAACAGGTAATCTTAATGACTTGAATTTCTTTCAACTTTTCCATTTTTAAACCGAAAGCTGAACTTTCTAATAATTTCGACCGAAATCTAAGTTGCACTTCTTCCTACAATTAAATAATATTGTATATAAGATATTATATATTTGTTGACTTACTCTGTATATTACTCTATTTATAATATAATCTGGTCAACTTTAGTTATATTTCTGGAATATTCACTTCTACTACATAAATCTATTTTACCTATGTCTACCTATTGTACTGTAAATTTCAACCATTATGAACTATGAAAGCATTAATAAAGAAAATAGATTACTATGTTCAGCAATAATTCTAACTGAACAAATATTGCAGTTAGAACTATTATATAAAATATTTTTTGATTGAACACTTCATCTATTGCATGTTTTAAAACAAAAATAATTAGTTATTATTCGTTGAGCCTTTAGTAAACTCGACATAGTTAGATGAGAAATCAACTATTGACTATTCAATTGGAAAATTCTACATACCTAATATCTAGCAGATTTGTTTTTTCTTTTTCAATACTAAATGTAATTTTTGGCAAAATAACTTTTATTGGATAAAAATTAAACTATTGAGATTATAATTACTAATAAATTATAAATAATCTTAATAAAAAATAAATAAGTTTTTTTTACAAAGAAATTCAATTATCCAAGAATATTTATATGTATACCATATACTAATATTAAGCCAACTTTATGAGAGTTCATGATACTCTAAGATTGTATTTATGTTAATTCCAATTACATTTTCAATTGTTTAGTTCTAGAAGAAGCTAATCATTAAATCAGTCCATATTTTAAATCTGTTTTCATGACTGGTATGTAATAATTACCTATTCTATTGATATTCATGCTTCATTTGTCTGAATTCATAAATGGTCTTTGTACAAAGTATGACTTAATAAGTTAAATTAATTATTCAGTAAATAACTTATATTTATAATTTTATATAATTTTTCATTGAAAAAAAATTTATAATGATGATAATAGTAATTAAATTCAATATTAGTATTGAACTCAGTGGGAAGAATTGAAAGTTAAGATGAATAAGTAGACGTTTATGAGATAAATTATTTAAGGTTTTCTTTCTTGAATTAATTTATTTTAAATCTATACTTCAATAGAACACAAACATCCACATACATTTATAATTTAACATATAAGTACTTTAATATGCTGAATATTCATTACACTTTTATATTAACTTAATCAATTACATCTTATAAGAATTATAATGTATATACTCCGTTAAATAGTTAAAATGTCTGATATTAGGTTTGTACTCACGATAATTGCAATTGCATTTCGGAGTCCAAATATATAGTTACACAATTTTAAATATTAAAAAAAATTCTAATAGTATCAATTTAATATGACTTACTATTTAAACCAAACAAAATTCAATTAAAAAGTATATATTTTATATGAGAAATGTATATCATATATATGTAAATATATGTCATATATATAAATATATATCGTATATATAAATATATATCATATATCTAAATATATTATATATAAACATATATATAAATACATTATATATAAACATATATATAAATACATTATATATAAACATATATATAAATACATTATATATAAATATATTATATAGATAAATACATTATTATATATATACATATATACTTATAAGAATATTATATTATGCATATACAAACATGATTTTCTGCATAATAGATCATTATTTAAAAAAAAAATTATTTAAAAAATATACACTTTCTGAATACCGAAACTTAACTTAAGTTAAATTGGCTTCGAATACTTAATAAAATAATAATATAGTCAAAAAAGAAATGCATAGTACTATGCAAAGTAATTCCATATAAGTTATAAAGAAATTGTATTATGCACTAGCAATTATAATCTCAATTTTGATATTCACTTATAATTTATACAGTGCTTTTGATAAGGTTTTTTTAATTTGAATAGAGATGGGGCTTAAGATCATTTTTAGGATAGATGTGTCCAATTGAATTGTAAATTTTACGTAATTATAATAATTTTTACTACTTAAATAAAATTTAAGATTCTATATAATTTCCATTCACACTATCGCCTTAGAACACACCTTTAGTAAAACTTGCTGGGTAATCACTCCTCACGTATTAGATAGTTAAACCGAAGTAAATTATAAATTTTATACCAAACAAGCAGTCCAATGTTGTAGTTTTCATTTAAATCTTCGATTAATGATTAACGATATAAACGCGTAAAAGCTTTTAATGCAACAGAAATTGTTTTAGTACAATCCGCACTAAAAAAAAAAAAAAATAAAATAAAATAAAATAATTTTTAATATAAAAGTGCAAGCAAAATTTTATAGATACTTACGTCAATACCGTGTTGGTGAAATCGTCCAATTGTTCCTGTGTTGCGGTAATGAATCCACCACTATTCTTCTTTGGCAACAAATTGAGTGCATTAATAAGGAACCTTTTCAGTAATTCTTCGCATAAAGTGCCTTTTAATTCGTATAAGACTTCAGCGACTTCCGGTAGCATGTATGCATGAAGATAGAATACGGAAGCATGTAGTAAATTTACAACTAAAGCCTCGCCATTTTGTTCTGCAATATCTTTTACTAATGGGCGACACTCAGCTAATCTAAAATTGGATATGCGCCCCCATTTTAATAGATTACAGAAAAACCTCATAACTGAAGAATTTGCTTCTCGGTGGTCAAGAGTGCATGCTAGTAATGCACACTGGAAAATGGGAGTTACAAGTGCGCTTTGCAGGAACGGTAATGGACAACTGTCGATGAAACGGGAGCATAACCGGAAAAAGTCATCGACTGTATCGGGATTGTTTTTTAAACCATTTTCCACACGAAGCATGCAGAATGTTGGCTCAATAAATGCTTGGAGCATTTCCAATAGTCCTGTTGAATAAAATAAGAAAAAAAAAACAATTAAAAATAAAACTTTTAAATAGCTTTATAAAAAAAAACAAACTAAAATTATTATAAACAGATATTATAATTTAATAATAATAGTAATGGGATAAAATTTAATAACAAACCAAAATAAATAATAAATAAAAATTAGTAATTAATGAAAACTTTTAATAAACAAAAAAAAATAGATAAAAAATATAAAAAAATAAATAAAAAAAATAATATGTAAGAAAATGTAATATATTAAATAAAAAACATATAATATCTATAAAAAACGTTCAATAAGAAATAATAATTAAGGAAAGAATAGAAAAAAACTAATAATGAAATTAATTAGGGAATTATGAATTACGCGTACCTGGTATACATTCCTTGATACGAGCAAATTCGTCCACAAGTACTGAACCCAAGTACAGAAAACAGCTATGATGATGTAAACCATATAAGCTGATCATTTGTTTTACCAAAGGCTCAACTAAGGGAGCTGCTTGCTTGTGAACCATGCGTATACTGTACCTCAATAGACGACAGGCGCGTTCCATAATGCGGACGTCGGATTGGTACTTGTTTAATAAACTTGATATGAGTGGCCACGAATCTGTTATGAGCTGTTTAGTAGGATGCACATCATTGTCGGATATATCTGGATTGGTGTGTCGTATGATAACGCAAGCACGATCAATCCAATAGGTGGGATCGGTACGCTCATTTTTTGCTATGCTCGCTATTGTTGCATTAGGATCCTCTACCATCAGCGCAAGCGGTTGTAGTTGAAATGATACCATTTCCCGTAAAGCTGTCTCCAGCTGCTGACGTGGTAAGCGTGTGAGCACAAGTGCAAAACTTTTCAATAAGCCAATTGCTAATTCGTTGCTCACGTCTATCATGTCCAAATTTTTGGCTATTAGCATAAGTCCATTTATGTGTATTATCATTTTTTGTTTAGAAGCTGTGCAAATCAATGTCAATGCTGTTGTCGCTGCAGAAGCCAGACCGTTCTTCTGTTGCATAGAATAATGGAGGAAATTTAATATTGCTTCTAATGTGTCGGGATGATTCTCTATCCAGTCGCATAATTCGCCCAATAGCATAATTGAGGTGTAACGCACCGCAATATGAGAGTTCTGTGGCATATTCAGAATAGCTTCAATTACTTTTGGCACAGTATCGTTTTCATCACTAAATTAAAAATAAAAAAAAATTTTATTTAAATAATTATTTTAATTTTTATATATAGTATATTGCTTTAAAAATTTGGTCTACATATAGTAGAGTTGAATTGAGAAAAAAAAAATAAAGATACGACTTGCTTTGTTAGACAACAGCTTACCATATACCTAACAATATAAGTATATATAGAATAAACTAATTATAATATCTTGAGATGAGAATTCATATTAAGTTTTAGGACTGACTTATTTAAATTGAATAATTTATTAACTTCGACAGAAGTGTCGGGAAATAAACGTTAAAGTACATCAACTATTTGAGTACATCATCAAGTACATCAAATACGTACAAGTACAATACGTTAATTTTAGATGTAATATAAGCGGCAGTGAATTTAAGTATATAAATTTTAAAGTATGAACTTAAATTACCCACTGCAACAGACTTCACGTCTGTCATGTCAAGGATGTTTCATATAAAGGTACATCGTAAATTCGAGTACATTATTCTATTTCCTTTAGTTTTAGATTAGACTAAGGCAACTGATTGCTTTAGTTACTTGCCGAAAAGTTGTGCGCAAGTTAAAAGAATATTAGAAAAATACTTCCTAACATTGCTAACATTTTATATCCAGTGAAAACTCAGACTTACAGTTGAGCTATCTCTTTTTCAATAATTTGTTTAAAAAAGATTATGTGCTTATCTCTTGCTGCTGATGTAACTTTCTTCACTGTGCCACCATTTTTTAAATTGACTGCTTATTGAGCTTCCACAGCGAATAGTAATTATCCCTTAGACGGGTTGGTAGCCACTTGATGGCGAACACCCGGCCTGCAATCGACCGCATCTATCTCATATAATACTCTGATTAATTTTTATTCTTTCCACATTAGCAGAACTCAGTCAAGTCGTGTTATCATTTTGAAATCAATAAAATCCTTAACTTGTATTTGTGGTTTTGATCTGAAATATGAACTCCTCATTTGATACGTACGTTACTAGGTTCTTCGCCACATTTTGCATAACAAATAAAGCGGATTCTGTTTGCTCCCACGTTGTATCCGGTGCGGTTAGAATGACGAACATTTGCTTAAAGCACGAGCTCGATCCAACAATAAATGCTACATCTTTTATTAGATCGGCTACTTTACGTCGAAAATCCTGAATATAAGAATATTTTTTTTTTATTATTAGAAATATTAATGATGTTATTAAGAAATAATAATGATGATGTGTTAACAGTTAATCAGCAAAAAATAAATTTTTTTTGCAATGTGATTGCATTTTATTTTAAATGAACGGAAGCAGCGCTTCTGACGTATTTATTTTGTTAATATGTTTTTACAAAAAATAGTTAAAACCTTGGCAGTTGTTTTATATTAATTTAATTCCACTCATTTCAGTAAATGGTTAAAACTTTTTTCCAAGATTTTATATGTTTAGTTTAGATGAAACAAATCCATGCACAACTATCTACATATGATTGTCTATAAACTATTCAAGCAAACAATATAAATGCTTCGATGTCTGTTTCTTGGGATTACAAGCATCTTTACGACTTGCTGCACCAATTTTACATTATGTGGGAAGGGTAAAAGACAGCATTGGGTTTCTAATATTCATGCACAATATTGTACGTTGCAGTGTTTATATATGAATAAACAAATACTCAAAAAATATATTGTATATTATATAATTATGAATATATAATTATGACTTCTGTTTTAACTTAATTATTTAAAAGTAAGCAAAAAAAACCAATTGGTTCGTGTTCATGAATGATTTTAAAGATTGAATAATTTTAAGCAAATAAGCAATTAAAATTTAATTAAAAAAAAGTTCTAAAAATAATTAAAAAGGCAAAAATAAAAATGGAAATAATAACAATAATTACTAAAAATTAAATAATAATTAATAAAGTGCGACAATCCACTCTCGCACTCGTCGATTTCGACGACCAAGTGTCGTTCATCACCCCAAAGGGATTTTACAAGCAGATTCTACGGACTACAACAACAACATAAAAAGCAAGCAGAAAATATATTTTAAAAAAATAATACAATTTATAAAAAAAATAGTAATATAATAAATAATACAATTAATAAAAAAAAATATTATAATAAATAATATTACAATTAATAACAAAAAAATAATATAATAAATAAAACAACTTATAATACAAAATATTATAATAACTAATAATATACGATTAATAAAAAAAATTAATATAATAAATAATAATACAATATATAAACTAAAATATATCAAAGGGACAGGAGGAGACTAACATATAAAATACGGATTCTATGTTAATAGAGAGTGCAATGCTTGATTTTTCACCCACGTGCGTGAATTCCAGTCACTGACTGCGAATTCCTAAATAAATAAATAAAAATGAATTAAGAAAATAAATAATTTTTGTATAAAGATGACGTCTACATATATCATAACAAAATATAACAAAATTGACATGATGTTGCATTAAGATAACATAAAATTTCATATAATACTCACTCCAAAGCCCTCATTGTCGTCAATCAAGCCATCGGTATCCGAGTCCATTTGTGCATGCCTGTATAGAGCCGTCAATAAGCGTTCAATATGTGGTTTAAATTTGATAGTGAGTTTATCATTGTTTTGATGAAATAATTCTTCACTTAAGCGATACCAAAAATTGAAAGTTATTTCGCTGACTTCATAGTCATAGTGGCCAACACACATCAATAGTAAATCCAGTCCGCCGATTGTATAATGTGGAATTTCAGTACATGCCACCATTTGGTAGAAGAATGTTTCGGACATTACCGTAAATATGCGACAGTAGTTCATAGTTTTGTCAACTTCTTCTTTAGCAACACTCGTGTGGTATGACGATTCTAGAGAACAAATTCCATTGTAAATTTTCGCCGATACGAGTACATCCAGGCTATTTGTTTCACACGCTGCTTCTATGCAACCTAGAAAACTGCACAGGCAATCTGTAGATGTGTCATGGAGTTTTCTCATTGTGTCTGGTTGTGATAATATACAGAAAACCTGTTGTGTTAATGGACTCTCAATAAAAATGTGGGGCGCAATTGCATGTATGGCAATCCACGAGTTATAACAGTGTATCAGACAGTTCTGTATCAACTCGTCTGATTTATCTGTCGTATGTAAACAACTGCACAAGTATTCTAATAGCTTTGGAGTGCTCGCCATTAACTGTTTGTGCACCTCTTGCCTTCTGTTCGCACCCAAACGCAAATATCGAGAATCGATTTCTTCAGGTATGTGCGCAAGTATTTCCAGCAACGGCCATGTGGAATGATGTGCTAGCATTTGTATTAAATCTGTTACAGGATTTTCCCACTCACTCATTAACAGCGCTAAGTCTGCCACTGCTAAACTAAGTTGCGTTACTATTACTTGATCCGTTTCAGGTGTTATTTGACTTACATGCGTTATCAACGAATCCCTCAAGGATTCATGTGAGTTTGGTGGCAATTCTATAAATGAGTTTTGTATTTTGTTTCGCATTGTTTGCGCTGCAAAGTAACATGAGTGCAAGTCTCGTTTTTGCTGCAACAATTCATTCGAAACACTCCAAGAATATATCTAAAAGTATTAAAAACCAAACAGGAAAAAAATTATTTCAGACAATATGCTACACTTAGTTTTATATTTCTATGTACCGATTTCTGAAATTCCTCCAACCATTTGTTGGCTCTTTCTCTTTCCACTGCGTCCGAATTGTGGAATAATGCACAGATCCCTCGGAAAACATTTTCAGCTGTGGGCGGCGGATCCATACTATGTCAGAATGTCTGCGCTTAGTATTGTGTAATATAAAAAAAACTTATGAGCAGTTGTTGCTTTTAGCGGCTGACTATTTTTAAACGATTTTTTTTATAATTTGCAAATCCGCGACGGTTCTGTTAGAAGCTTTTCACTTGTTAAACGTATCTTTTATATTTTTCATTACTTTGCCATTTGCTATCCGAGATATTAATTATTACTTATTACTCACAACTGCAACACCTTCGTTTCTTTTTAAACTAAAGCCCATGCAAGTTGAGCCGCACTCTTCCACTTAACAAATAATTTTAAATGTTTTCTTTTCTTATATCCGCAGTTGTCAAACGCAAATGTACACATAATGTGCCTCTGCATTACTTACGCTCGCCGAGTACATAGAGCTGAAGCATGATTCCGTGCGGTGCCTGACAGCTAAATCACGAAGTGTTGCCAGCTTGTATGTTTTGTAATGCAGTGAGAAAACAACATTTGGGATGCCATATGTAGAAGTATAAACTATATTGAATTTCCTAGCGATTTGTTGCACTGCACCTGTTTAAATATTTATTTAATTATTTATTGCCTTTATTTATATTTTTGGTTAAAAGTTTACAAATTTATTTATTAAACATCTTATAAAATTTTTACAATGGTAACATCTAATTCACCTAATTTTTATCTAATTTACCCTACTTGAAATTTATTACTATTTATTACTTTACTCGAACTCGCACATGGCATTAAATTATATTAACAGTTTAGTTCTATTAAAAATATGTATTTACTTATGGTAAATAGTAAGAGGTATAAACAAATAAATTGGTATAATTTTTGTCCAATTACTTTAATGAGGTTACATATTAATATTAATTTTTAAATTTTGGTATATAAACATATGCATGTATTTAAACATTTATTTTAGATTATGTATTGAATGCTTACATTAATTATGCAACTCTAACGTTTTATTTTTTTAGGTATGCATTTCAAAAAATATGAGATATAACAGGTTTATAAGAGTGCGTTTACACTATCTAAATCAACTCTATAAATATGCTGCAATAAATTATAGTTTTTTATAATGGTGAGTGAAAATCTAATATATATGTAATCTAATGTATAATGAAAATAATATCATATATCCTTTCTGAGAGGAACGCAAGAAGTACTGCAACGCTATTAAGTAAAAATATAATATATTAAATGATTCTACTTTTGTTGAACATTATGTTTTAATAAAAAAACACGATTTTGTTTTTACATATAATAGGTCTGTTCCACGAGCGTCTCGTAGTAACTTCGAGTAACACTGTTTATACACAAGTGCGTTCCACCACCAGCAAATTTTCAAGTAAATGAGAGCATCTGAGAGAGCGTAACGTCTCTGTCGAATTTTGAAAATGTTGCACAAACTTTACTCGTACATTTTAATTTAAGAAAAATTTGTGTGATGTGTGAATCAGCTGTTTTGGTTTGAATTTAAATTTTTGTATTGTTCCATTAAAACCTATGCAAAATCTATTGAAATCTATGCGTAATTTGGCACTTTATTTATGGTACGCTCTCAGTTTGTACTTTACTTGTGTTTTACTACGAGTAACTTGTATAACACACCTATTATTGTTTCAATTTTAAACTTAATTACAACTGCGGAATGCTTTATTTGCATATCAGAACAGTATGACTGAAAATTATTGTATGTTAAGCAGAGAATTATAAGTAATCAACATTTAATCCTGATTTGTATTTTACTTGAAAAGATTTATCAAGTAAAAGTCAAGCAAGTCAAAATGAAAATTCACTCTCACAAACTCTCTTTCGTTACTAGTTTTTTAACGGGAACGCAGATTAATAAAATTTAAGTGACTTTTTACTTGAATCCTACTACAAGAACGTATGAGAGCATAGAAATTGAAGACATATGTAATAATGGAAAGGTGGTAACTAATTATTCTTCTTAAATACAATACTACACATAAAAAATGTATTACCAAAGGCTTCAAAAAGTGTTTTGAGTTTTACTAAATAAAAGGTCGAACAGATGCACGGTAAACAATCTTTTGCTATGTAGATGAACACCTCAGGTATGATTAACTGCGAATGTTCGTTCGTTCACAAGCGTTGTCTTTGGTGTGAATGCACCTTATCTTTCTACCTGTTTATATCAAAAAAAGGTAAAAGGTGGACTTTACTAACTGCTTTAAATGGTTTATTTTTCATATATGAAATAGGTATTGTACTGGTTGTTTTAATTGTCTATTGAAAAAAATATTTAATTGGAAAAAACTAAATCTTCAAGGCGAGGTAATACAAACGGAGGAGTTCGTTATATAAAAGTATGAATACAATAAGGATTCTTAATATCCGTGAAAGCGTTGGTTAAAAAAGTGTTAATAACATTGCAAGGCATTACATAAAATATATAAAAAGTATTTTTAAAACTAAAGTATATTACACTGTCCGTCTGTCCGTCCTTAAAATATATTGGGCGTCAATATCGTAACGATTCTCTTTTCTTTAGTCACAACTCTTTTAGGTTTTCATCCGTACTGGTTGAAGTCAATGATAACTGAAAATTTAATTGTTCTCTGTTTTATTATCCGAACTTAGTAAAAATCTGTATACAAAAATGATATGTATAATTATATATAATTTTTATAGGGTTTTTGGCATTGTGTCCGTTTAAGACATACAAGAGAACGAAAAACATATTTCTTAGCTGACATGGGACTCCCAGATAACCTCAAAGAACATATTATATACAATTTGATATATTGTTATCATACTGCTGTGTCCAATCTGATAAGTCTTTCGTATTATATGGGAACATATAGATTATAGCATAGTGGCTCTGAAATTACAAGTTCATCCTTTGCAGTAGATGTGACTATTTATCTAATTCCGCTTGATCTTACAGTTACGCTAATGGTTGTGAACTCTGCTCTTAGGCCTAAAGTTTCTTATGATTACAACCATAAGAGCCATCCTTAAACTTTTCAGCTGTTTTCATATTAAAATGAAAAACACAACCACAGCAGTTTGTGATAAATAACAAAATCTTATATAAAACTGGGGCTAGAAGCGAGTGTAATCCGTCCATAATAATATGTGTGGTAATAAAATCGAGAACTCTTCATATGCTAGCTTGCCATAACTGCTTTCCAGCTACCAGCTATATGTTCAGGAACAAGAATTAGAAATATTATATTTAGTGTATTCGCAAGATTTTAAACGGGTTTATTGCTTCATAAGATTAACATTATATGTTGGACGCGCTTGATAAGATTAATATGCTCCACTTTAAAAAATAATTGTTTAAATAATGTGAGAACTTTTAGTTTTAGTTATTTGCTACGGGAGAACGTTGAATTAATGTGGGAATCTGAAAGTTTTAAAAAAAATAAAATACCAGTCATTAAAGCTTAACTCATGAAAGATTCATCCGGTATATCTTAAGTCCAGTGATAATGTATTTAAAATGTTATTAAATGTGGCATCTTTCAGCTAAAAGATCATCTTCAAAAAAGCAAGTCTAAATGTGATTTACGTATGTGTTAGGAAATAACAAAATAGATGTATAGCACTGTACTTTATCATTCCGGCAGCTACAGTTAAAACTAATAATCAATGTCCTACCACGATTTCTGACTGACAGTAATCCATCATCATACTCATTATATCATATATCTTCCACAAATGTCTATGTAAAATTAAATCTTCACCTGTCTGACTAATGTGTGTAATATCCCTGTAGTCAGAAATACAAAGAAGTAAAATACTGTGTTGGAATATTGGTTAGAAGAGATATGTTGCAATAAAAAACGGTAGTACTTGTAATTTGCGCTGAACTCAAATAGTTTAAAGAATCTCTATTATTTGACACTGTAGATATTTAAAAGAAACGTCTAATAAAGGGGTTTTGCTAGAAGACACTGCAGTGGCTTGAAAGCTATTATATTTTGATGTGTCCAGTTTCTTAGAGAAAACTCCACTACGGAATTCCGTTAGCAATTTCAAAGTCTACAAGGTGGTTTGATAAATACCCGACCTAAGTAATAGAAACGCATTTTTGTTTGGAAAATTATATTTTATGCTTCAATATAGTCCCTTTTTAGCTCGATACATTGAGTCCAACGATCTTTTAACATTTGGATAAGTTTTAAATAAAATGACTTATCAAGTCCTTCAAAATTTACTTCAATTTCACATTCCAATTCATCATTTCATGCAAATCTCTTTCTCTAGAGCCTTCTTTTTAAGTTTGGAAGCAGACATAGTCAGTGGGTGTCAAATCTGGAGAATACAGTGGGTGAGAAAGCAATACGTACCGTAATTCATTTAATTTTGCCATGGTTTTAATTGACATGTGAGCAGGCGCGTTATGCTGCAAAAACAAAAGTTTTTTATTCAACAAATGTGATCGTTTTATCTTGGTTTCCTTATTCGATCGATCCAAAAATGTAGTAATCCAATAGTAGTCTGTTGTTTTTGTTGTTCTTTTTTCCAAATAGCCAATGAAAATTATTCCAATTAAATCTCAAAATACAAATGCCAAAACCTTTCCAATAGATTATGGAGTTCGTGGTCGTTTGGGAGCACTACTCCCGGGCTCTACCCATAAACACTTTTTGTCAACACAGATTGGCTGTCGTAAAGTTTGTATGTATGTATATATTTTTTTATTCAGTTATAGGTCACTTTTAATAAATAATTCAACGTTTGTTTAATATTTTTTAATATACTCTATATTTACACTCTCCTTGGGAGTCATCATCAGGATCACGATGATGATCCTCTTTATTGTATTGTCTATATTGCAATGTTAATAAAGTAAAATTAAGAAATAAAAATTAAGAAGGGAATGTGATTTGATTATTTTATTGGAAATTAAAAAACAAGTTTGGTTTTTATAATATATGTATATATTATTTATTTATTTATTTATTAATTAATATCTGTTTTTGTTGCTGTTCAAATGATTACATCTCCTTATTAATATCACCGATTCGACTAATTAACTTTAACATAATTAAAATATTATATCAAACAAAATCATTTATATAAGCACTTCTTACATTAAAGTATATATATATATGAATATATACATATATGTATATATACATAAACAAACTATTTACTTCAAAACATTGTGTACAAAATTGATAGAATTAAAGAAAATAATTTTTTTATTATTTTTAATATTATTAAATAATATTGTATAATATAATAAAACATTATAATATAATAAATATTTGACTAAGTTAATCTCTTTCTTTTATACATACATACGTGTGAAGGTATTTTTATTTTGTTCATTAGTTTTTTTACTATAATTTTTTTAGACAATAATTTATTCTGTTTTTATTTATGGTTTCAATTTCGTCATATATACTTTACATTTCTTTAATCGTTTCTTTATGGTTTGATTTTGATAATAAATTGTTTAATTATAGTTACTTCTTGATTGTTTTTGTTTAAACAATTCTTTGTTAAATTTAAACTTTATTATTTCGTGACCAAAAATAAATAAACATTTTTTTAAATCAAAAATATCTTCTTTTTTGTAAATACTCATCTATTACTTCTTCTAGCTCTATTACTTTTAACGCCCTCTCCGATCTCCGATCACCGATCAACGAGTGAAGAAGGGTGCTTTACTTTGTATATTCATTCTTCTGATCGAAAGAGAAGAAAAAAAATTAAAATGTTATTAATAAGATCTATTTTTTTGTTTTTTATATATTCTCTCTTTCTTCCATTTTTTGCTACAGTCATAATCAGAACAGACCATTGTGAAATTTGAACCCAGTATGCCCTAATTTTTTTCCGATTAAATTATAATAGTAAATTGTTCCTAATGCTATATATCATTGGGTTAGTTAGGCTACTGTTGGCTGCACTATAATTCTTTTTGAATAGTTAGAACTTACTGAAAATGGGCTTTTTTAAATGTTCGTCGTTACTTCTAAGCATGATTAAGGAACTGGTATGACTAAGGATACACTGAAACAAAGAGTTGTGAGATATGTGCGAAGAGAGATATTGTGAAAAATTAGATTAAAATGAAGAAAATAAAAAAAAATAAATAAATAAACCATATGGCAAAGGAAGCTTAAGGAGTGAGCAAGAAAACAGTATATTAAAGAAATTTAAGAATAAAATACGAAAAATTAGTATTAAATATACCTCTTAAAATTGGTGGCTTAAAATAATTTTAATCGGGTTTCTGAAAGAGTTAAACAGAAAACATTTGAGATGTTGAAGAGTTTCCGTGAGTCTAGTTTCTAGTCTAGTTTCTTATATTTTCAGAGTAAGAGTAACATGACAACTAACAACCAAGTAAGTAAGAAAAATTTAGATGAAGATAAGAGAAAACAGCCGGAGGTTTAAAAAACCAAATTAGAAATAAGACAAGATAGCGGTAAAGACAAGAATAAATTAAAATAAATGTTAATTGATATTGATATTATTAAATATTGATATTTATAGAAGGGATATAGTAAATGTCAACAGAAGAACAACATCTGTAAGGGACATTGTGATTAATGTAAAATGTTGAAGCAAAACGAATAGACACCCCAAGGAAAAATGATTCCTTGGGGTGTTGCTAAAAGACAATGCATTATTAGAAACTGCAAAGAAGTGAACTGAGAGAGCACAGGTAGAAAGAAAATAGCATTTAATAAAAGTAAATAAGTACCTTGCTGAAAGGAACAGGGTTCATTTAATATGGTGCATTCCTTTTATGTATAGAGAGTGCATTTCGATCCCAGGGCACAGCGGATTTGAGGGGCACTTCATATAATATTGGACCACTACCATTCTGCGTTCCTTCATGGAGCTTTTTCAAACTTAAAATTATTGAGTGACTGGAAAGAGCAGCTCAGACTGATTGGGATAATATAATTGCTTGTTGGCAAGCTAAAGAATCCATGCCGTATCAATTTACTATTTATGCTAAATAGAAGTGGCATCCGACTTGTGACAGGGTTTCTCACTGGGCATTGTGGAGTTAAAATCTTACATCTATCGAACCTAGGTATTACTTGAAACGATAGCTGTAGACCTTGTTACGAAGAAAAGGAAACAGCAGAACACATTCTGACTCAGACTTCGGTACTTATCCACTGCCTATACACTTATAACGGAATAAGGCAACATCTCTCTAAAGTACATAATGGCGTTCTTAATTGCTACTCGTTTATGGAGTGGACGAGTGGATATGTCTCAAATGATGCAGTGACGTGGTGACAAGTTACCAACCCGTTTTTTTAAATCTAAAAAAATCTTAAAAATTATGGCGTATGATGAAAGGAAAGAGGATTTGAAATTTAATTAATGACTGTTAATTAATAAAAAAGTAAAATTTTATATTAATGATATATATATGTATGTATGGAGCAGTTTCGAAAAGTAAGTAATGGGTACACAACATATTCAGTGTTGTCAGTTCCAGAGATTTTGTAATTGATATATAATTGTTGTATCCAATAGCAGGACTATAAAAGAAGATATTTTTTTTTATTAAAGATATATTGCTGATTTGATTTAATTGTAACGTATTTTATTTATTCGCTAGGTGATGGTGATGGTTGGAATTTCTTGGGAGCTGCTTTTAGGTGCGTCTAAGCACTTGTCTCAGCTAACTTGTAGTTTGGAGGAATTAAAAGTGCATATACTATAATTATATAATAAATGTTTACGTTGGGATTTTTATTTGTTATTTGTGTATGTATGTGTGTGTATGTGTGTGTGTTGTGTTATATGTATATGTATTTATATCACGGTTAGGGTAGATGAGAAGATTGTTCGTTGCACAATTCCGATTTCCGATACGATTTTTATTGCTTTCACTACTTAACCGTCTCATATATATATATATGTATATATAGTGCATATATCTGTTTTCGATTAAAACTTATATGAGATTTTTGAAATATGTTAATCATTTAATCAATTAATCATTTAATTCTTAAATTCTTAAACATTAATTTGAAAACTTTAATATATCAAAATTCCGTACTCTATTATTCAATTATTCAATTATTCAATTATTCAACGACGAAATGTGCCAAGAGCCAAACTTAAACACTTAAACACTTAAACTTAATTAAGCACAAAATGAAGATGCCACTTTTATTTTTTTCATTTTAAGGCTTACTTGCTAACGGAAATAAATACTTATGTCCTTCTACTACGGAAAAAAGTGACTTCATTCTGTTTAAGATTTCTATATTTATCTCTAAATATTAATATATTTATTTTAATTGTTTTAATAGCGAATTTTATTTTCTTTTTGTTTTTCTTTTTTGTTTTTTGTTTTTTGTTTTTTGTTTGTTTTGAAGTAACTTTTATATTCCCTAAATTTTATACAATTTTTAGTAATTTATTAATTTGATCATATTTTCTGCAATAGAATGTATAATTTTTATATTTTTTATATATTGTTTGTGTATATATTTATTGACTTCATATATATATATAATGAATTTTGAAAAACACTTTTTAAGCTACAATAAAATATTTTTTCGCATTTCGAAGCTTAAGTCTTAAGTTTTGAATTTCGATTTAAGACCTATAAATAATCGTAAGGATGGAGAAGTGAATTGAGTAGTGCGCGTGAGTACATAAGTAGTTTTAAGTCTTAACAGTCTAAAAATTGAATTATAAATGGACCATTTCAATCTTTACTTTAAATAATAATTGCTAAATTTTTAATTTCTATTTAAAATTTTAATATAACATTTTTTTTTTTTTTTTTATTTATTGATTTATTGATTTAGTTTTTAGTTACGAAATCTGAATTTAATTTTAAGTTTATTGTTTCGAAGAAAGCTTTTTCATAAATTTAATATTCAATCAATTTTCTTTGCTATATATATTGTTTTAAAAACTGATATTTTCAAAATATTACGAAAGCCATTGCGTATAGCCTTATTCGATAATATTTCTCCATCTATCTTCCTTATCGATAAAGAAAGCTGCCACATTTTTTAAAACACTGATTTCATTATCTTCTGGTCAATTGCTCAATTTTATTTAGAATGAAGAGGCAGAAGAAGAAGCATTCCACACAAATTATACGAGAGCGGTAAGTTGAAATAAAAACCGAGTGCCATGCCTAGACCCTTGTGATATTAATGTTATCAGCTGCAGATATTGTAGGAGAGGAGAGGAGAGTAGAGGAGAGGAGAGGAGAGCCAGTTAAGTTTAGTTATGCGGATTTACTATATATTAATTAATGAATTAAAAACTTGATTATTACAATTAGTTTTTAAATTTTGTTTCGGTTTTTAGTCGATTTTTAGAATTGAGGATCCTACTGCTTGGCTATATACTCCAGTTAGTGATATTTAGAACATGAAACTGTTATTGTAATCGTACTTTTAGACAGTTTAACTTTTTAATTATCTATTGTTAAAAGTTAACATAAAACTTTAATGTGATGATATCTGTTGGAATCAACGAAGCCACTAAAAATGATGTTAAAATAGCAAACTGTCGAATTTTTGCAGCCACGAAAGCCGCTTTGGTTTCAGGATGCCTTGGGAACAACACATAGTAAAATAAAAATAAAGATTCAGGAGTTTAAAGAAATTCTTCTTCTTCAATCATTGTCTATGGTATCATAAAAATGTGAAAGCAAAAAGAAAAATTTCGAGTATTAAAAATACTAATATTCACTAAACGAGATCTTTTGTGGAAAGTTTATATCAATTGAATATGCAATTGTCTAGCCGACTAGAAACATCTGCAATACAGATAGTCATTCTGAAACTCGATCCAATTTTTTATTTCTCCAATTTTTTTTTCTGAAAAATTAAAAATCCTATAAACTACTACTATCTACGAATTACCCTTCGAGTGAGGTTAGCTTACGTTGAATTGGTTGGCACTTAGCACCCTGCTTAGACCCCTGGGTTTTTAACGATATCAATCAATGTTTGATGTTTTGGGTTAAATAATCTTCATTCTAAAGTTACCTGCAACTCTTTTGAAAATATGACGTACAACATTTATTTTATAATATTTTTGTTTTAGCTTTTTTTATTTCTGTTAAAAGATTTTTAATAAATTTAGTGTAGTTTTTTTTACTTTCGTTTACTAATTCTTCATTTAAATTGTTTAACTCTTAAGAAATTTATTTGTATATTATTAAAAGGATAACTATTTATCTATTATCTTCTCATTTTAAAAAATATGTTTTTTGAAAATACTTGTTTTGAAATCCCCATATTTTGTTTTGTAATATTTCATTTTTCCAATATTTTGTCTTTTATCTTTTTTCTTCTTGCTTAAAAATTTTTCTTTTTTGAAAATACCTTTTTTTGGATTTCCACTATAGCTCCATATTCTGTTTTGTAAAATTCTATTTTCCTAATAATTCGTTTTTGCGTTAAGTTTCTACTACTTAAGATTTTATTACTTTATCTCGTCACTCCCTCTGTATTACTCATCCATTCTTCTAATATTTTTTTTTAAATTTTTTACTTTACATTTCTTTTTTGTGCCTTAACTATTGTTTTTTTATTTTTCTATTAACTTGACTTTTTTTTACGCATTTCTCTGTTATTCTAAGACTATTATCTGACTTTCTTCAGTATTATCTCTCTAGTCTTCCTTTCTTTGAATTTATTTCCTTAATACTAGTGTGTATATTTTTTTAATTTATCGTTTATTACTCTTATGATCATGTCATCGCTTTCATATTTTCATATTCCTTTACAATTTTTTTGAAATCTTTGTTCAATCTGTCTCCATCTTCCTCCTATTTTTCTCTATTGTAGTGCTTTTCTTTCGCAATCGCGAGCCATTCTGAAAATATCAGTTCTTTAATGTGCTAAAAAGAGTACTTAAGACCAACGTGAATTTGTTTTTGCTTACTGCTTTCGGTTAGGTTTCATATAATTTCGATTTCTAAATTTCTATTCTTCCCTTAAATATTTAAATTATTCGTAGTATCTCTTAACTGTACTAACTACTGGTTATCTTTTATTTTTCCCACATATACCTGGATTTCATCCCACTAAAATTCTCATTCCATTTCGTAAATGTTTTAATCGAATTTTGTGTATCACATTTGTTCGCCGCGTTCCATGTCCGGTTCAGTTGGACTTATTGGTGACATTTCTACGCTGTCCAGCAGCGGTGTTTTCTCTTCACTGCAACTACTGCCCTGGGCGTCGTCCATGGCAAAAATTCGTGACAGCTCAGCGCTGCTGAGAGTTTGATGTAATGGTGATTCATCGGTAGAGCTGCTATTCTCTTCAGTTGTGGTGCACGTTGCACTGCCTGCGCCACTACCACTGCCACTGCCTCCGCTATCGATGATGTTCAAGGCATGATTGAGTAGCTTGAAGGCTGAGCTACGAGATACAGCAACAACAGCAGCTGTGGCAACCTTAGTGACAGTACTGCCATGTACGGAGCCGGTCGCAAGTGCAGCTGAAGTTAAAGTTTCCGCAACATCAGCTAGTGGAGTCGTTGTTTTGGGTGTTGGGGTCTTCAATGAAACGGCAGTTATGTGCGTAGAGGCAGCGCTTGTTAAATTTGGATGGCAGGAAAGAGTAGCCAGGGAGGTGGTTTTTATATTGGTCGTCTTAATGCGATTGATGGAACAAGTGCTCCAGCTCAATTGATTTGGATGGGAACGTTTGATAAAATTTTGTTGAGTTTGTGAATTTTGTTGCAAGAATTGTCGTTTCTGTTTTTGTTGTTGTTGCTGGTGCTGATTTAAATGTTGTTGTTGTTGTATTTGTTGTTCGTGTTGTTGCGGTTGTTGCGGTTGTCTGGAAGAATTATTGTCTTCGGTGAAACTGACTTCATCCTCGGATGTGTAATATTTTTCGTTGCAGCTCGTGCTGTTGATTGCGGTTTGTTTCAATTTTGTTAAAGTGACAAGATGACGCTCTGAGTAAGATTTACGTGCATCCATAACACGTAAGTAGTCGATGGATTCACCAAGATCTTCACTCTTAGAACTGCAATAACGTCTGCCATTGCTGCAAAAGCTTGTCGTAACTGCCAACCCTAAGCCTAGTGTTTGATTTGAGCCACAAATTTCATTCGAAGAACCACGATAGAGCGAATGACGGCTGTGACTGCGGCTGCCGTACGATGAGCAGCTATCGTATTGATTGTCGCGTAAGGACGATGGTGATAATCGCGCCGAATGATTGGGTGAAATTTCAAGCAAGGAATCGTTCGATTTGGCTATGCGATTCTTACGATAGAATTTGCTATCACGCCATACCATCTGACGAGTGCTTGACGTTCCAGCCACTGTAGCTGGTCGCTGTATTTCGGCTACATAAGCGCCAACAGACCCCGCTATTAGTGTCGTTGAGCCAGCAATAGAATTTGAGTTCTGACAAGGCGAGGTATCGAATACGGTAACTTGACTGGATGTCTTACTAATACAGAACGAAGCGTGCGTAAGTTTTTTATACTTTTCGCTCTGCATATTGACGCGATTGTCTGAATTTGTACGATCAATTATTGGCATAAATGCATTGTCTATACGGCGTTCTTCTTCGAGAGAACGGAATGCCATTCGATTGACATTTCTGAGATGCTTGTCCGAGTTCGCAGAGCTACATCGCTGATTTGGCGACATATCTTCGAATGAACTAACTCTATATTTCTGCGAGAAAACTTCAATAGTGCCAGAACGCTTCGATGGCGAAGTTGTATAAATTGAATTTTGATCGTTGACTAATATTTTGGGTGGATCGAATTGTTGTAGTTGGTGTTGTTGATGACCAGCGCTGGCGGAAGCTAATGATGAGTTACTAGAATTTGTAGTAGCAGTAACCAGTATTTTTGGTGACAAGGATATTGGAAATTGTTGCGGACGTATGTTACTGGTTGAACCCGATGAGCTAGAACCACCTGAATATGAGCCGCCTGATATACCATCATCTATATTGAGAAAGTTACTGGGTGATGATTCGCGGCAAGGCGAAGAGTTGGCCGAGTCTTGTGAAACCATATTGTGCGGTATGGTTGCCAACTCTAAACAGGTTTCATTACCTGTACTTGTGGTAGCTATTATAATATCCTCCACACCTTCATCAATCGGTGATGAAATCGATTGAAAACTGCTTAAGCGAAAACTGGATGAACCTATCGATAGATCATTGTCAGTTAACGAACCGAAAGCAGAGTCCTGTGATGGATTGCTGCGCCCATACTTTAGGCACTTAAGAGAGTATTCCAAACGACGACTCTTCGAGTTCTTGTAGTTGCACATATCAGCTGTCAACTGATGATTGAACGAAGCATTGGCGCTGGCAGCAGCTGAAGTCGATGCAGATAGATTGCATATTGAGCCACTTTTTGTGCCAGCTAGTGGTATTGCCGCAGCAGTAGCAGCAGCTGAGAATGTCTCTGTGACATTGCTTGGTGAAGCATCATTGTTTATTGTGCTATCGGATATTTCAAACTCTAATTGACCTGCTGGCAAACGGGTTACTGAGCCATCGCTTTCATTATATGATTTATTTATTGTTGTTGCTACTCCGATAGCTGCCAGCGCTGTTATTGAACTAATACTTGTGCTACTTCCAGCTAAATGCATCGTGTCTTCGACATTTGTCCCAGCAGCTGCGCCTAGTGATAAACTCAAGTTGCTGCTGGTACTTGAGCTACAACGTAGAAATATATTAGCTTGTTGTTGCTGTTGCAGCTGTTGTTGGTATTGATGTTGATGTGGTTGGGATTGTGGGTGTTGCTGGGATGAATGATGTTGCGGATATGACTGTAACTGTGATGGCGGGTGTTGACTGGAGTGTGGGTATTGGTAATTGTGTTGTTGATGCTCTTGAGTGCTGCAGCTATTGTCATCCGAATGTGTTGCTGTGTTGCAATGATGTATTGGTGATTGAATTGCATCATAATACTGCTGCTGTTTATGGTGTAGCTCTAACTGTTGTGAATGTGGCTGGAGAGTGATGTACTGCATGTACTGATGATAGTAGTATGGGCTTGGAGCCGATGTCGATGCCTCCTCTGTGTTCTGTAGATGCTGCTGATAGTACTGCAATTTTTGTAAGTGCTCTTGATGATAATTGCTACCGACAACTATTTCATCGAGCAGTCCTTCTTCGGAGTCACTCGAGATGTCAAATGAGTCCATTGTTCGGCTGATGCTGTCATTTTTGATAAACGAAAAAGAAAAATCATTTAAAAGGTGAAATAAGTGCATAAAATCGTATTATTTGCATTTACTGGTTTAAAGTTTAGCAATAAAATTTTGTTCGGCATAGAATTTTGTATATATTGTTTGGTTTTGTTTAAGTAAAGTTTCAATAGATTGTTTTTTTAAGTTTTTTAGTTAACGAATTTTAATTTTATGTAATAATTAATGTGTATGTACTTGCTGTTCTTGTGCAGGTGTAAAAAGCCAATACATGATGTACAATATTTATATAAACTCAAAGAACAAAAATCAAAGAACATAATTAATGTAAAGCAATTATAAAAATAATTATTCTCTTTTAAATTTACATGTTAATTATTTCAAAATTATGTAGGAAATAAAGCTAGTAGATATGCAGTATAACAACAAGAAAAAAATGTTTTCAGAAAACGCAACATGCATTAAAAGAGAAGCCATCAAGGACGGGAATTCTCTTCAGACATCATTGAATCGGCCCTCGTGAATCGGCCCTTCGTGAGAACTATGGAATTATTTAGTATATCGAATATATTGCTGTTTAGATCCAAAAATATACATACATTTCTGAAATTTTCTTTGTTGGCTTCTTATTAACTACTACAGTAAGTAGTACGAAAAGTACTTATATACATTAGAATAGAAAGTATTGGAGTAAAAATAACTGACTCTATATTATCAAAAAGGTTCTATTGAAAATATTAATATTGGGGTTAATTTATTTCATTACATATGGAGTTTAATTAAGTATTCTGGTATTCAAGTAAAATAGAAATAATTTTGACCATAAACAATGTAAAAGTATTTGTATTATTATACTTTTTCATTGTATATCTACAATATTTCTATATGGTCTATGAGTACGATTAAAATATAATACATTTGGAAATAACATGTCGTTCTTAAGAGATTTAAAAATATTTTAAGTGAGAAAATTACTTTGAACTGGACTATATAGGTTAGGTTAGGTTAGGTTACTGGGGTCGTCCGAAGACGCCCTTAGACCATGAGGTCCATTGTGATACCCTTAAGAATTCGACATCTGTCAATATAACCATTTATTACTGGCCACAAAGCATTGACAATAGAAATAGAATTTAGCTCTATATAACTATATAACACATCATCCATTAGAATGATTTTATCTTTCGCAAGCAATCAATTATGGAACTATTTTGAAAAGTATGTATAATACGAAGTTTTTATAGAGAAATTAATGACCCCTTAAGTTCAATATTAAACTGGTACAAAAGTGATAGACATAATAACACTTTATCCCGTTTAGGTTTCTCATACAAAAAAAGATAAGTTTTGCGAGAAATTATTATTATTTACAATATTCTTCTTATTAACATACTGAAGACTCTGAGACCTATTCAGGTTACTTTGGGGTATGATCTTCAATAATAGTAAAAAGTTTTTTTTTTAAATATTCAATACTAAACTGTATAGTCAAATATATTCAAAGATTCAACGATGATTATTGAATAGCATATAGTGAGAACATGATGTCTCTAGCAAAGTTAGTTGGAATTAATAGATGCTTATTTTACTTATTAAATGGTTTGTTCTCTTCAAGTATTTAAGAATAGTAACAATGGTAGTTTGTTTGCGTGAAAACTACTATAAACTATAAATACAGTATGAGTCTGATAAGAATTCTTTAGACGGGGCTCTTGCACATTTACTATAATATGTTGCACTGACTATATCAGTAAACAAATAATTAAAACTAACATGCATTGTAATTAATATATATATAATAACTACTATATACAAATATTTACATAAACTTGCATCCAATAATAAAGGAATAAAAAGCATTCTATTTCTCCATCTAAAAATAACTTAAGATACAATTAATCTAAATCTACAACTTTTTAATAGAATTTTTTATAAATGGAAAATTTAAGATAATGTATAGAAAATTGGAAATGTTCCCTAAACAAAGATTTCTTATGGTGCTTTAAGATTTAAATATAATACCCATAAGAGACGTACATAAGTTACAGGTTTTTAAAGATTATGGGGTGATTTATGTGTTTCATAAAAGAAATTCACAAAATAAATTTAAAGCTTTCTATAGTTATGGATTTATTCCTGAGATGTACAATTATGGGCAACGGAAAAGCTTTCTTCAGCTTTTCATTAAAGAAGGACCTTCAACATTGATTAGATATTACGATTTACCAAACTAAACTAATGGGTTCAATCATTTTCACTATATAGAATAGATTGTGCTATCAAAACATTTTTGCGGCAAACTTTAGGAAATCATCATTTAGGATTTTTAGAGACGTTAATGTCATACCAAGAAAAGTATTCTAGATATAATAATTATGAATCTATTTGAGTTCTACTACTTCTTCTTCTACTAATTTTGCTACAGTTTTTGACACTTATATACCTAGTAAATTTCTGCAAAGATTTTAATCGTGAGATATAATGTTTTACAGCTAAGAATATATTAATATAATCTTAGGGTGATATAACAAGGGAGGGAATAAATTCACTATTAGGATCATGAAAGGTTTAATTTTAAGGTTTAATTTGAATAATTGATTTGAAAAGTTTGTAGATTATAAGCAAAGAAAAAACTTTAGAAGGGTTCGAATAGAAATAAAAAGGCAACAACAAAAATTTTAAAATTTTAGCAACAAGAACTTTTCATTTATCAAGTAATTAGTTTCCGCAAATATTATATATTATATTCGTATTTTGTTGCCTTTATTCTGATCCCTTAGATAAATTGTACAATGTTTAGAATTTTTTTAAGTATTAGGTCTATCACTTCTGTAACTACTTTATTCTAAAATACGATTACCTTTCATTTCCCTATTTAAAAAATTATGGTGATGTTGATGTGTCTTTATATGTATTGAAAATGCATTAGACAGGAATAATCGTAAGACCTTCAAAAAGATAACAAAGTTAGTAGCAATTATGTTAGAGATACTTAAGCAGTTCTAATATGAGAGATATTTAGTATCTCGGTAGGTAGGTTGATAGGTAGTTATGTGAAGAAGTTATTTTTTTTTAATAAAAGTCAACGTATTTAGATTATAATATTAATATAATTTATATTTTATCTTACTCCTTTCTGTACATATATTATTACATATATATCTTCTACGTAAAATTTAACAGAGCTTTTAAGTGTACTTAAAATTATAGGTTGAAATAGTTGTGAATTCACTTAGGGTTATAATGCGTAGTATTGTCCTGTCCTTGGATCTTGTGTCTTGGTTCTTTAGCGATGAGCCTTTAGAAGGGCAGACGCAAATGTTTAAAAGAGACGTGTTCCTCTGAATATATAGATTTTTATGATAATAATAGTTCTAGGAAGTTTAGTTCTATACTCTTAACAGAGTAGTAAATCAGGTCTAATACTAAGTTCTTGTTAAGCATTAATAAAGAAAAAATTATTTTTTATTTTATTTAAATAACATTACAATAAGACAAATATATATTTACACACAAATACAAAAAAAAAAAATTACAACAAATACTAGCAACAAAATAGCCTATGAAGCGTATTAATTTACACAATATAACTATTTCTTGTACTTATACAGGGTGTGTTCATATATATATATGAGTTGATTGTAGTGTTCGAGTTTTGTATGTATGGGTGTTTCGTTTCTAATGCAATAAAATGAAATATACACTGGAAAATATTTTTTTGATTTTCTGTATTGAGTATTAATATGAGCTCTACAAATCTTAAAAAGGTTTATAATTTCATTATTAGTTTTATTTATTATTTATGCTATATTCAACAATCCGTTCATACTATATCCATGTATTTGTCATCTATCAAAAAAAGATTGGCTAAATTTCAACAGTTTTCAAGCTTTGGCGCTTAACTCTTTCTCCTTTTAAACTCTACAAGAATTGAACGATAAACAATTAACCATTTTTTTATCAATGAACTTAATGAAGTTAATCAGGAATAAAAATGGTTAAAGTCCATGAACCTCATGGAGTGATCATAAAAATATACTTAATGTTCTTTAAAAATCTGTGCAATTTAAATAAACGGTTTTATTAATAGAAGTATATAAAAATTAATAATATAGAGACCAAGGTCTCTAAGAATGAGGAGGAGTGGTTTAGTCCGTGCGAGTCGGGCACACACTTTTTGTGGGGCGCCGTCAGAAAGTGTGGTCAGTGCGGAATTCTATGTTATATGACATATATGACATATAACATAAAACGGTTATATGTTATAAAACAGTTTCATATTAAATTCTGACTCTGATATATACCTTGAAATTAAAAATTGTAAGAAATATAAAAAGCTTTTTAGTATAGGTACCTATAGTATATTATCTGATTTGTAGTGCTTCCAGCATTTTTTAATGTAAATTGTGTGTTTGTGTAATCATACGTCCAAGTGATGTAAATATTGTGTGTAGTATTAACAAATATAATTTATATATTTTTTACAAGTACAACTACAGTTCGGCTTTTGTTAATTAAATGATTAATTGGTCTAAGTGCTAGATTGTTTCCGAATGTGCATTTCCCTAAAAATATATATAACTTTTACTGACTTTTGATAAGGGGTAACAACCTCAAATTATTCATTAATGAACAACATAATTATTAAACTTTTATTATTATTATTAATTATTTATTAAAAGACTTCGTATAATTGAACTCTGAGTTGAATATTGTGTAATGTGTAATAGCTAATAAGATTTATCTTAATAAAAATATGAATTATTCTTGATATATAAATATTTCAATATGAGCAGATTGTGAGTTAAATATAGGTCTATGGAAACCTATATATAAGTATCGGCTTATATACTTAGTGTTAAATTATTTATTTTTTGTGTCTTTAGTAATTTTCGTCTGTGTCAATTTTTGTGCAATTGTGTTTTTTAATTATATATATTTTTGGTTTTAATGTTGCATGATATATGTTTATATTATATTTTAGTTAAGTGAAATTATTTTAAATTCCAT